TTTTCACGTGCTTAGACGTTTTATCACATATTCTGCAAGTACGGAGAAAAGTTCAGATAGGCAATAACCAAATTAGGAGCCCACGTTGTTATGCCTACGTGAAAGAGACCGTGAAACATCTTCGGTTAGAGGCTATTGGAGCTGAAATAGATTTCGGTTCGTTTCCACAACAAAATTACGTGAAAGAACATTTCTGAGGCAACTAGCTGTAACTGAATAATTTTGATTTTGATCTGACGAAGGAACAACAGCCTCCGAGCAGGCTGTTATTTGGTCTCAATTATTCGGACACCTGTGGCAATAGACCATAAAATAAGTAGGTCTGAGTTTATTTCAGATAGATTTGTTTTGCTCCTCATTGAACGATATCGAATTAAAATGTGTTACGGGCAAATGCTCTTTTTCTCTTACAAAAATGCACACATCACTTACTAAGCGTTTCATTCCAAACCACCCATCCGAAAAATAACTCTTGCATGCGTAGCATGTCTATGTTTTGTTTGTGTTGTCGTTGCGCAAAGTAAAACTGCTCGCGGGGGATTTCCGTCTTGCGCGCAGAATCGGCAAGTGGAAAGTCCAATTAAATTTAGTTCGATCGTTTTGTCTCCTAAAGAACAGAATGTTGTTTCGCATATTCACTGATAATATTAACTTTTTTGCCAAAGAAGACCGGTCTCCTTAAAATTCTGCACCCTCTCAGATTAACGATGAACGTCAAAAAGTCTTGAGTTTCAGTCTAAAAGACGGGCAATCAAGAAAAAAAAAACCATCAAAGAGACAAACTTGAAAGACATATAGATACAAAACACGATTTCCTCTTCCTGTAAGTAAGTCAATTCGTTCTCAAGACAGCACTGTCGCAAAAATTGAAAATTATCGATAGGATTTTTGTCACTATCACAAACGTACGGAAGGCAAAACAAAAAGGGAATTAAGTCTCTCTTTTGACAATTTTCTTATCGTTACTGGTATTTTCCTTGATTTCAACAAAGCTTTGAAAGTGGCTGCTTTTTCCAAAGTGAAAATTCTAAGGAGTTAGGCTCATTAAGCCCTCTCATTCAATATGTGAGTGACGTACTCAATGGAGTAGTCCTCCAATGAATGGGAAATGGAGGTTCTGTATATAAAAAGTTTTAAACCTCTCGTTTAATGTAATAGGCTCTTAAATTAATAAATTTCTTCCAAGACATGAGAAAATGTTTCAGTCATACCAAACAGACAGTTTCACCACATTGTGTTCGAAAAGAAACCTTCGAAGCAGCCAAATTGAGATTCCGAATACGATCATACCCAAAATATTCCCTCGAAAAAAAGATCTTGATTTCTTTATTCAACCGAAACCCAAATGTTTACCATATTGCGTGTAGATATTCATGGCGTCCATAGCTTTTCAGCGGCTGAAATCTCTAAATGGGAAGATAAAATCCTCTCAGACGCAAAATATTCCCTAGTTAACAATCTTATGTAGGTGGACCTTAATTTCCCTGATACCACCAGCGGTCTCATGATGTCGCTAAACTAAAGTTTCTTATCTCACTCTAACCGGTACGCGTTTAACAAAGAGGAGCGCTGTTGGAGGTTGAAAATGACATCCTGTTCAAATGAAGACAATGCCTTCCTACGCCAGACATGGCATTTTTAAATAGAATTTGCATAACGCTATTTTTCCATTCTAAAGGAAACATATGTCGAGGAAATTATTACCGGCTTGGTTAGAAATGGTGACAAAGGCTGAACGGAAGGACATACGCCGTCAAAGTAACATGTTTAAAAAGTTGTTTGTGCCGGGTTCACGAACATGATCGGCCGTCCAACTGAAGAGATGGTGGTTATAATTGTAAGGTCATTTTCAATTGTTATTTTTTTTTACTTAGTAAGAATGAACGCCAATGGAGACTTTTACAATCTGCAAACAGACGTTGCAAGATATTAATGATTGACGAGAGTTAAGCGTTGCTGGAACAAAACTTGCTTCCCCTGTGTTGATTTGATTGAGTATCTTTTTTCTAGGACTCATGTAATATCGACTTCTTCAGTAACTTTCTCTTAAAACATACCGGTAAACTGTAATTTTTTTCTTCTCACTCAGCGAGCTTGTTTTGCGAAGGAACAAAGCAATGTTTTTAAAAGCTGGAACTGCTATCAAGAGAATCGTTTGTCAAAGTAGCACCGATACAGAGAGTAAAGGCAGTACGCAAGTCTGGTCAGTTGCCATTTTCGCCACACAAACGCAGTTGTAAAACTTCCAACAACCAGCTTGGCGAGGTTGGCTGAGTTTGTTTTATTACGGGAGACATTAAGTTATTAAGTTATTCTCACCTTTTTTAATTGCACCACAAATCGGCTCCAGAAGCAGTCTTCCATTCACTTATCAAAAGAAGACATGATCATTCCGTGCAATCCACATACTATTCGAAGTTTTCTGGTGCTTTACTTCACGCACGAGACTAAACACGCTGTCTAAGTTGTTTCTGAACAGCTTGAAACCTTAACCGCAAAAGACCATTGATGAAATGTGAGTGGCGTCGTTAAAATGCTGTAATGAAAACCCATCGGGGGATAAAGAACTGTTGCAGATTGGCCAATGAAATTCCCGAAAATCGCTCGCCGCCAAGAAAGCTGTCCGCCAGGACTTTTCGAGAAAACCTGTCATCAGTGTATCTTCCAGTAGGTCATGCAGAGGGGGTACGTACAAGCGCGATTCACGCCAGAAAAAATAAAGAATCTTGGATCATGAAGATTGACCTAGGAAAACTCAAGTGGCGAGACGATTTATGTAAAAATATCATACAGTGTTTACTACTTCTACGGTGAAGAGACTCTTTTCTGTTTTTCTCGTTTATCTTTTATTGACTAAACGTTGATTAGATCTGCTATAGAAGAATGCTTCGAATGATACAAACATTTTAATGCACATATTTTGAATGATGCTTAAATGCAAGAGATGAGTTAGTGTAGATTTAACCCTTTAACTCCCATGAGTGACCAAGACAGAATTTCTCCATACAATATTAATACAATATCATCCTGATTAGTGAAGAGAATAAAGAAAAATATCAATTAGGGGATGATTAATTGATCCAATGCTAAATTCTCTGAGCTAGCATTATAAGAATCGCATGGTTGACAGTAAGGAAAATTAAAAACTTGGTCCTTAAGGGTTAAAAGACAACCAAAAACCTCTCTTAATGCCAATCTCTTCCAATTTTTGTTCCTGACCTTAAGATGATAATTTCACGGTTTTAAAATTCACACTACTTTTTTAAAAATTGCAGCACATAAGCGATTTGGATCCCATTCAATGTAAAGTCAAAACACATTAACTGCTTAGTATTGTTCACATTTCAGTGGAAAATACGGATAACATATCGATTTAAAAACCCGGCACCTTATTGTCTTCAGTAACAGTGACAGACGATGGAAATTTCATTGCAACATTTAACGAGTTAATAAGCTTTCCATTTAAAGAAAACACTTGAAGTCTGCTCGAAACGTCAGCTTTAGAAACTCTACCCAGAGGCCGATTTACATTTTTAATTCGGTTGATAAAACTAAATCATCTCTTATAATAGTTTTATTAAGCTGTATCTTGTTGTTGGTGGGCTGAGCAGGTGGAATAAATAAAACTTCTCTTAAAAGCAACTTGAACTTCTCTGAGAGTCACGGATGAAATACAAGTTTAGAAATGATTCTCACAGGAGAGCTAACATCGGAGAAATATCTGCAATTTTCCTTATTGTAACGCACTTGCAGGGATTTTTACTTTTCTTAATTGAGAATGTTTATCCAACCAAGATCAACAATAATAGGCAGGCTACGATTCATTCAATGAACTAACTGGAAGAACATTTCAATTACAACCATTCCATTCGCGTAAAGTTTGAAAACTGAACGAATCGGAAGACGAATCTTGTTAATTTTACCACCATGGAGAGCTTGAGAGGGCTGTTGGGCCGCTCCAACCACTGTAAATATCTCGTTTTTATTACCCAATAGCTCATATGTGCCTGTAAATCGCGCGTGTGCGTGATTTTCCGTAATGACATCATCCAGTGGAGGAGTGCACCTCATAAGGATAGAAAACGTAGCTAGAAACAATAGGAACTATTTGTTGTCAAAACTTTTATTAGCATATTTCCGAATTTTTGGTCAAGGGTTTTGATAGAAAGAAAACATTGCTTGAGGTTGCTCAAGCCTCAACTTATATGCAGCCTTTGATCCACTGACCATGTAAACAGAGGAAGACATAGAAGGGTTTGATACATTCCGCTGTAATTGATGCCAAGATTACAATTCTCTTTTTCGAGCAACAGTAGGTGCTCTGAAGTGGTCTGTACAAATATGGAAATTCTGTCTGCGTGCTCCAACCTTTCTCCTAAATGTAACTATTCACACGTTTAACAATAGTAGATGTTAACGAAATAGTGGAGAGATTAAATGAAAAAAATTGTAGCTGTCACATTCCCAAAGAAAACATGTCCCGACATACTCTTGTCAAATTCCAAACAATGGTTGATATTCTCAGCGCATTGCTCTTGATACGCAGATACGTTGACTGGAAGCTGTATCAAGAAAAACCTTCTCGTGATAATCAAAACACTACTGAGCAACCATGAAAATTTCTTCACCACATAAAAAGACGAAAAGAACAATTTATTTGATACTATCTTACGAAGTTAAAATTTCTACATATTCCGTTTATCTTCGTCAGAGGCTTCACGCCAATTACATCTGGTGTACAAGAAAGCTCAGAATCATTTGAAACTTATGCACTGTTTTGAATGATACTTAAACACAATTGATATGTACATAAAAATTTAAAACACAATCAAACACTTGTTTTGTAGCCAATCTCTTCCAATCTTTGTCTCTGATCCGTAGAGGATAAATTCACGGTTTGGGAATACACTTAAGAAAAATTGCAGCGAAGTAGTAACTCGGCTCAGATTCGGTGAAAATCCATAACACATTGTAATTACCTGCTGAGTAATGTTCACAGTTTAGTTGAAAATACGGATAACATTCTGCTTAGTGTCAGAAACTAGCACCTTATCTTCTTTGGTAACAGCGACATACCAAGGACGTTCCATTCTGGCATTAAACGAGTTAATGAACTTTCCATCCAAAGAAAACACTTGAAGTCTGCTGTTAAAAGAGTCACATACGATCAGGTTATTAAACTTGTCAATGGCGAGTCCTATAGGACATTGTAGCTCTCCGTCACCAGATCCCTCCCTGCCAATATCATACTGAAGCTCTCCTTCTTTGTTGAACACTTTCACACAGTTAGCCGATACATAGGACACAAAGAACTTGTCCTCGTGATAAACAGCACACGTCGGGGAAGAATCACAGTCTGGTGCATTAAAGGACTGTACTAATCCTGCACCGTCGGGGGTGAGGACCTTGACTGAATTGTCACCTGAGTCAGACACGATCATGTGATCATCACTTCTAATAGACACATGCAGTGGTGTATTCAGATACTGACCGATGTGTTTAATGAACTGGCCATGTTCAGTAAATAGGAACATTTTACTCCGTTGGTCAGGCTCATAATGAATGACTACGACATCATCAGATGCCGTGAATGCCACTGATCTTGGTTTTCCTCTTCTTTCAACACGCCCCTTGTCTCCTATCGTTCTTAAATATTTCCACTTGGAATCAAACAACTGAACTCGCTTATTTAAGGCATCTACAATGGCAATGTTTCCTGTTCTTTCACTCACTGCAATGCTTCCTGGTCCTGCAAACTCTGCCAGTCCTTTCTCACGTGATCCAAATGAATGAAGAGCCTTGTAGCGATGACCAGTCACCTGAACTCTCCAGGGACTACCAGTCAGCGCCTTGCCATTTACTTCGACAACAATATCATGTAATCCAATACTCTTTGGCTCATAACGCAATGTATAGTTTCCATTTTGACAATGCTTAGGTTTTATTTCTTCATCTTCGCCATTAGGAGAGCGAATTTTCGCAGTCACTTGGTCTTCTTCATGATAAACCAGCTTCCCCTCCGAGTCTCGTGTAGTTACATTGAAGTCAGTTTCAGCACCAATTTCAGCTTCTTGCAGACCGTTTCCTTCAGCCGTAGATTTTGAAGGATCAGCATAGCTCGCGATCAAGTCTGTCGATAAAAATGAAAGTACGAGAAATAGAACAGTGTAATTCGTGTTCTGCAGCACTTGCTTGCCAATAGCCATTAAATATTGCCAGTTGATTTATAGAGGGTTGTAAAATGCTAATTTGGTAAATTTGATACATTCTTGTATAATCTCTCTGAAAGGTTCTGACACCAACATTCCCTTGAACTGTTGTGGCACTCCTTAAGGCCTTAATGGATCTACTGTCGTATAAACAGTCTATTCTGTACCAAGGGACTTCTCTCGATATATGTCATATATGTAACAGGAGCCCATTACTTGGCTCTAGTCTGTAATGTGTATCCCTAAGATGAAATAATTTTCTCTTGTTACGTCATAGTCTATTACTTTTTTATAACATTACATTACATGAAACCCAGCTTTAGACTATTTCCTATGTACAGAAATAATCTACAAATTTCCATCAATTTTCAGCAAAAAAAAACTTAAAAAATGAATTCCTTTTGGTTGGGTGAAAAAATCTCCTCAAAGAATTTGGAAGTAACCCTTAGGTGGAAGTGGGGGGGAGGGGAGGGGGGGCATGAGCATCCACCTGTTTCTCGTAATAACAAAGCGTGTTTTTGCTTATTATTGCAATTTACTTCGAAGGCCAGAGAATTTAAAATGATCTAGTAATTTTAAATAATGTAGATACCTTACTTTTCAAATCAACCAGCGTTTTCTTTATTTCATTCAGCTCATCTTTCATGTTGTCTTCATCTTTCTTCCATTGTGTGAGAAGTTCTTTGTAGTGATCTTCAAGATCAGGGTCCATGACTTCAGTTTCCAGCTTGTCAATAGCTGTTTTGTACTTGACTCCTCCCAATCTAACCAGAGTGTCCCGGATGTCGCCCCAGTATGCACTGAAAGCTGCATCATCAACTGATGCACACTCGGCGTGACCATACACGGTAATATTTGACACGAGCAATATCAGCTTCACGGCTTACGTCTGTGACAGCGGGAAGTTTATCCCAGCCTGTTGCAGGAGAAGTTAAACCGCATAAGTTTCGAAGCAGAACCATTAAAAGTGTAATGTCGAATTGGGCCGATGACACTGATGTAGAGATGGCGGGAAAGAGCTTTCCCCATTGCGTTGCGTTTATGACCTTCCTAGTTCTCAGTGTCTGTATAGTTGCTTTATTTCCCGCCAAAACTATGTGGAGATTTGTAGGTGCATGAATGGCATCAAAAGTGTCTCGGAAAACCTGGGTACCAACATCAACCATCAGCCGACACAGGCGAGCGTAGTTCGTTGTCTCTTTGGTGGATGAAAATGTTGGCGCAGCAGAAGCCATGGAGGGTTGTCTATCATTCAAAAGTAACGATAAAAATTCAAGTGAACCATCTCTTGGATAATGGTGCCACTTTTCTAAAGAAACATTGGTACTTCGTCGTTGGGGGTATGACAAGATAGTGTGCTTTCATCAGCGTAAAGAAATTCTAGAGCTGACGTTTTAAGCGTTAACCCTACGTCAGAGCGACGAAAGGCTAACGCACGAAAAGCCAGCTTTAGAAACTGTTCACAGAGGCAGTGAGCTGATATCGGAATTTCTGCAATTTTCCTAATTATGGCTCACCTGCAGCGAGATTACTACTTTATTTAATTGAGAGTGTTTACCAACCGTCACCGACCAAGATCAATACTAAAGGGCAACAGGCTAATATTTCATTCAATTAACTAGCTGGAAGAATTATAAAGACAATAATTAAAGAGTCCTTTGTGACCTGCTATCTTTGCTGGACCCTTCATCGCCACAACACTTGTACTGAAATTTTGATGTATGCGAAACTTTGCTATCCCTAAAAAAAACCAGATAATTCTAAAGCTAGCCCTCAAGGCTTTTACGCTTCATTAAATCTTTATGCCATTTATCGGATCTTTATGTTTTTCCTTCTTTTTTACATCGCAGTCATGAATGTAAGAGATCTTTTAATAAGTAGGGTTTGTCACAATTTTTCTCTTTTCTTTTATTTCCAAAAAGTTTTTTGGGGATTTTGCCTTAAATCAATTTTAACAGAGAAAGGCCAGTAGACCTTGTAATTAAATTTCTGAACATTGTTTCCATTTAATCGCAGCAATACGAATGAATTTACATGTGAATTTATTATCTGTTAACGAACGAGTGAATCCTACACATGACAAGTGAAAGATGGTTTTAAAATCGCTGAAGCAAGCAACAAATTGGCATTAAAAATCTTTACGAAGTGATCCTCCTTCACAGATTTTCTCAAGTGTAGTTGACGGAAAACGCTATGCGTTCGCAACAGTAGAAGCAATAATAACCAAAGCAAAGCAAGTCGTGCATGTAGAAACAGACTCTGAACCATGTTTTACTTGTGACAGAAAGCTCTGTAGAGTGCAACTTAATCAAAACACAACCAGTTGTTCAGTTTTATGAAGAAACATCCAAGACTTCTTTCAGTGTCTGGGAGTCAATTCTCGGATGAAGGACAAAGGCGGCGTTATAGCGGAAGACACGTAAAGGTGTGCTGTAGCTATCAGTACCGCCCTAATACTAATATTGTAGAAGCAGTGCACTCATCAAACTTGGCAGTTAGTTGCTATTGACGTATGATTAACACATTCATGTAGGGAGAATGGAAATATTTTCGGGAATGATCATAGTGCGCTCTAAAGAGCAAAACAGTGAAGCCAAACCTGTGGATTCCCTCTGTCAAAAACCAGCAAATCGTTATCAACAGCTTGTCTCCGGCGAAAGTTCTTGATGTGCCACAAAAAGGTTTTAAACCCAAGACCTGGCGAAATTGCTCAACGAATCGAAAGAACGCAATCAACAAACCCTCAAATAAGCGTGCAAGGAATTTAGAAACTTACGTCATCATCATATAATTATGTAGATGTAATTATGTTGCTATGTCTCTCATTTTGGTGAATAATTTTACATGACAAGTTTAAAGTCTGAACATTGTGGTTTGAAGCCTCTTGCTCTGGAAGAGCGTAATTAACCTGCATTTATACATTTAGTACCGATTAATTTCAAAAAGTTGTTTACTTTGAACAAGCGACGTACAATTTATCAAGATTGCAAAAAAGAAAACAAAGACAGAAAAAAAATTCTTTCGTTCAACCTCGAACTGTCAAAAGCCCCGAAACGCAACCGTAAACGGCCAGAACTCGAAAACTTTAACCACCGGCAAAGCTAACTTAGACCCTCCGGCATTGTACAGAACTGCTTGTTACATATAAACTTAGTAGTGTCCAAACTAACCTTAGAGCCCTCTATGATTACAAGATGGAAAATCAATCCGAAATGTCTACTCGACTTGTTCTCATTCAGCAGCTAATTTCTGTTTGTGATGTTACTTCACACCATGAAAATCAGCTCACAACATTGTTCCATCCAAAGAGCATCACGGCGAACGAAGTCAGTGAAAAGTTACGTGTTGCCTCAACTCATGTCACCCGAAGGCTGCGTGCCTTCGCCCTCAAGTGTAATCACGTCACCCTCTAGTAGTTACATCGACTCAGAAATAGTCAGTTCATTCTCCCTCATGGGAAGACCACGTTCGTCCGAATGACAATTATTTTCCGTCCAATCCGGACAGAAAACTAGAGAAACAGAGACAATAACAGAACTACAGTAAACACAAGTTGGGTAACTTGTTTAAGGTTCAACAACTGTGCCCTTCAGCGAAAGGAGAAATTATTCATAAATAGCTGAACCCACGAAAAACTTAAGAAGCAAAACGATTTATTGTAAAATATCATACAATGTTTACACGTCTTCATTTTCCTTTTATCTTTGCTGGCTAAATGTTGATTAGATTTGTTGTATAAGAGTATTCAGAATCGTGAGACTTAATACACAAATTTTGAATAATAACAGAACACAAGCGATATGTACATAGGAATATAAAAGACAGCCAAAAACGCCTGCCTTATCCCCGATCTCTCACACCGGTTTTTTTTTTGGGAGCCGTTGAGGATAATTCTAATTCTGTGCCGTCATGGATGAAATTCACCTCGACTGAATTGTCTCCCTATTCACATACGATCATGCGACCATCACTTCTACTAGACACGCTCTATGGATTACAGGTGCTGCTTGATGTGTTTAATTAACTTACGATTTTCAGTGAACAGGGACCTTTTTTCATGCGTGGAGAAAGTCTTCATGAATGATTTGGACGGCATCAGATGGCGAGAATTTCACAAATATTGGTTTTCCTTTTCTTCCAGAACCAGGCCCTTTATCTCCATTGTTCTTAGATATTTCCAATCATATTATTATTATATTTCAACCAACTGAATTCGTCTATGATAATAACCAACAATTTGTTTTTGTTTATACATTAAGTAGCGTGTTGTGATTTACTTAATTTGATATCCCGTGCATCTAAAAGTTTCTCGCACTGACCAATCACATTATCTCCTACTTGCGGACTTTTTGTCTCCAAGTCGTTGAGGATGATAAGCCGAGAATATATTCATAAACTGCAATATTACAGCAATGAAGATGAGAAACTCGTATCAGATTCACTGAAAGATATATTGGAACTTTTTAATTTTCACACCAAAATGTTCACACTTTACAGGAATACATGGATGATATCTTTATAAATACCAGAAACCACTACATTACTTTCTTTAGTGACAGCGATAGAGCAGGAAATTATATTCCCTCATTAAACGAAAAAACAAAGTTCCCATCTAAAGAAAACAACTGAAGTCTGCGCTTAACAGAATCACTCACAATAAGGTTATTAAAACTGTCAATGGCGAGTCCTGCAGGACGTTTTAGCTGTCCGTCACCAGATCCCTCTCTTCCAATATCATACTGAAATCCATTTTTGTTGAACACTTTCACCCAGTTAACCGTGGCATAGAATACAAAAAAACTTTGTAATAAACAGCATACCATGGGCCCTGACCGAAAGGCTGATGCTCTGAAGGAGTGTACTAATCTTGTACCGTCAGAAGAGAGGACCTTGACTGACTTGTTGCCAGAGTCACACACGATCATGTGGCCATCACCCCTAACAGATGCACGCTGTGGATCAATCAGCTGGTGACTGATATTTTTAATAAATTGACCATTTTCAGCAAACGGGGAAATTTTACTTCGCTGCGAATGCTCTTCATGAATGACTAAAACGTCCCCAGATGCTGTGAAAGCCACTGATCTTGGATTTCCTATTCTCTCAGCACCAGGCCCTTTGTTTCTTATCGTTCTTTTATATTTCCACGCAGAATCAAACTGCTGGACTCGCCCATTACCATTGTCTGCTATAGCAATGTTTCTAGTTCTTTCACACACCACAATGCTGTGTGGTCTCTTAAACTCTCCCGGTCCTTCCTCGCGTGATCCAAATGAATGAAGAGCTTTGTGTTGATGAAAAGTCACCTGAACTCTCCAGGGACTACCAGTCAGCAGCTTGCCATTTACTTCGACAACAATTTCATTTAAGCTGACGCTCTTTGGTTTGTAACGCACTGAGAAGTTTTCATTTTGACAATCTTCTATCTTCATTTCTTCATCTTGGCCTCTTGGAAGGCGGATTTCAACAGGGACTCGGTCTTCTTCATTATAAAGCTGATATCCATCTGAATCTCTTGTAATGACTGTGAAGTCAGTTTCATTGCCCATTTCCGCTTCTTTCAGACCATTTCCTTCAACCGATGATTGTGAAAGATCGGTGTAACTCGCAATCACTTGAACCAAATGTTCAACAGAATTCAGTGTCTGCATTTACAAAATGAGAAACATGCTGTGGTTTATATATTGTAATATCTTGTGCAGTTAACATTTCCTCGCATTGACCAAACACTGATCATGTTTTCCTTCCAGAATTTCACGGCCGCTGTTTCTCTTTTCGATCCTTCTGCCACATTTGAGACAACTCTCCAGCCGGGCAGCGTATGACTGAAAATCGTCCAATTTTGTCTCGTATATTTTTTGTTGCGTGACTTTAATTTCTGTTAGCTTAGTCTTTACGGCCTTTTCCCGTTCCTTCACAGGCTGAAGGATTTCTTGCACCGTTCTTTTCACCTTGTCCTCTGCAGCGCATAATTCTTAGTTGCTTTCCACCATCAGTTCATTCTGCTCCTTTATCCTTGCCTCCACGACATCGAGTCTTGCCTTGACTTTGGCAAAGACTTGAGTCATTTTAAGCTTTTCTGTTTCAGCGGCTAGTTGTATATCTACTATGATGTGTCGATTACGACTCACTATACTACACTTGTGGTAAATACAAATGTTGCAAACTTGACAATAATATTGCACAGCCTCATTCTCGTAATATTTTTTCTTACACATGATGGGCTCTTACCCCATTTCCTTGGCTCTCGAGTCTTTACTTGCTAGGAAAAGAAGGAAAAAAGAAACAGAGAGAAGTACAGGATATAGAATTGTAATAATACATTTGTCGCGGAATTTGTTTTTCTCGCAAAACGCCAACCTAAGCACCACCGGGTTGCTAAGTTCATTAGATGGTCTTGTCGTTATAAATTTCGGCTAGACACCTCAAAGCATCAACAGTCTTAACCATAACCAGAAGGAGACAGCCTATACACCTATATACAAATACCCTATATACAAATACCCCACAAGAAAGAGGGAAACCGTTTCCCTCTTTCTTTTCAAATTTTGAAACATTTTCACCTTCATTTAATAATTTGCCTGCGAGATCAGGTAAAGGCGCCTGCCCTTCAATCTAATATGGACCTAAAGGCCTTCAAACTCCACGCTGCTTGATAAATATTAATTAAAATTTGAAAGCAAAACTTAACTTCTTGAAAAAATGCTTATCGGTCAGGCGAAATTTGTAGGGCATTAGATCCGAAAGGAAATCGGAGTTAAAAAGAGAAGGGAATTATTTTTCCCAAGAATTCGTTGCCACGAAAAGCCATAAGTGCATTTTTGATATAGAAGATACTTTGACAGTGCTTTCCAAGTTATTTAGCTTTTTATGACTTCATTAAGCTTGATCTTTTCACGTTGTCTTCATCTTTCTTCCGTTGTCTGAGAAGTTTTTTGAAGTGATCTTCAAGGTTAGGGTCCATGACTTCAGTTTCCAGCTTGTCAATAGCTGTTTGTACTTGACTCCTCCCAATCTCATTAGAGTGTCCCGGATGTCGCCCCAGTATGCATTGAAAGCCGCATCATCAACTGACGCACGCTCGGCGTCACCATACAAGGTATTTCTATAATATTTGACACGAGCAATATCAGCTTCACGACTCACGTTTGTCTCAGCGGGAAGTTTATCCCAGCCTATTGCAGGAGAAGTTAAACCGCGTAAGTTTCGCAGCAGAACCATTAAGAGTGTAATGTCGAAGTGGGCCGATGACACTAAAGAAGGGTCAACAGGAAAGAGTGTTCCCCACGGCGTTGCGTTTATAACCTTCCTTGTTCTCAGTATCCGTAACTTGCCTTCATTTCCCGCCAAAGCTTTGTGGAGAGTTGAAGGGGGGTGGAAGGCATTAATGTGTCTCTGAGGGCTTGGGTACCAATACCAACTATCAGCCGACATAGAAGAGCATAGTTCGTTGTCTCTTTAGTGAATAAAAATGTCGGTGCTGCAGAAGCCACGGACAGTTGCTAACATTCAAAATTAACAATAAGTCATATTGATAAAATAATCAAAAATCACTGTTCAACGTCGAGTCTCGTAATTAAGGCTGGGATGACATGTTTCATTGTATTTAGTTAGTGCCACTGAATAAAATACTTTGGACCCATTTTGCCTCGATTGTTAGGGGCCTTTTAGTGGTATTTACCGGGTGAATTAATTCTCGGGGGCTTAATGAAACTGTACAACCCGATTTGCGTCTTTTGAAGGCTTAGTGCTAATTAGACAAACATCGTCTTCAAGCAGCCACGCAAAAATTCCTGAAAATCCATAATAGTGATGCATTTAGCAAGCAGCATTTCATATGACAAAAAAGAGTGATTGATGTTCACACTTCAACTCCTCAAGACATGTCATGAAAGTTTCGTAGAAGGGAAAAGTGATGTTGTTATAGTTCCAACTGAAAGTCTAAAACTTCGATTAGAATGTTGCTAAATAACACAAACAAAAGCGACGGACTCGCAAATAGAAGTGCGTGCAAGGATAATGCAGCTCGCTCTCGTCCTACGAGGTTTTTCCGGTTAGTTATCAAAATGGCGACAATTCGAAAAACCCCCTGCACACAGTTCTCTAAATCGTTTCCTGATTGGTGCTTTTCTAAGATGATGAAGTATTGGTTAAAGTCTCGATCTCATCTCTTCAAGAGCTCGAAAAGCCTTAGATTGACCAAACAGTACCGGCTGAAAGTTCATCAACTGTAGTTCCCTTTACAATCTCTTATAAAACTGAAGCTGTTCCGTTTGAGGCATCGTCAAGGTAAGAAGTCTAAAAATTCAAAGATTTCGGCGACAATTTACACTTCGTGTAGAGTGCGGCAGCAGATTTTTATCGCTAATATCGGATCAAACGTCAGCGGCGGGATGGACATAATTTAGCAAACATTTTTCAGTGGAAAAATACCCCTAGGTCAAAGTATTCACTTGCTGCTAGCATAAATGGTGTAAGTTCCTTTATATAATAAGCTCAGTTATGCACGCATTCTGATTGGTTCTCACTCATGATCTAATGGAGGACAGACGTATAAATGACGTCATCATTAAAACTTTTTTAGTTCTTTATTATATAAAACAAATAGATTCCAAGTTGCTGTGCGTCTGTTCAGTGATAGATCACAGAGGACGTCCCCGCATGGGACTCCATTTCCCGTTCGCACTGACCCTTTTGGCGTATGTCTATCCATTTTTTGTCTCTTTCCCTGTATATGCATTCATTTTGAGCTTGTAGACGTACCCAATAAAGTTGTTAAATAAATAAAATGTGGTAAGAACATCAGTGACACCCTCAGCTGCGCCTCGTGTGCCACTTTTTTGTTCTTACCACATTTTGACGTCATCTGTGATCTATTACTGAACAGACGCACGGCAACTTGGAATCTATTTGTTAAATAGAAACTATCGTGCTTCGTCGGTGGGGTGGAGTGGGGTGGGGAGGGGGTATTACAAGTTAATTTGGTTTTATCAAGTTAGTTAATAATAAATTAATAATAAATTGGCCACTATAGAGAGTTTCTTAAGCTGACGTTTCGAGCGTTGGCCCTTCTTCAGAGTGAAGGACGAAGGACTAATGCTCGAAACGTGGATCAATATCAGTATCTGGGCAACTGCCCACCTACCCCTCCCCTAAGCCAACATTAACCCTAACTTGTTATCAATTGACTGTTGTTGAGTTAGGGGAGGGGTAGGTGGGCAGCTGCCCAGATACTGATATTGATCCCGAAACGTCACTGTGAAACTCTTTATGTTTGCAAATTTACATTATCAACTCAGTTTATAAAACAACATTATCTTTAAATTTGAGATCTGAGTTTGTTATCCATAATTATTTTCGATAATTTTTCTCTTACGACAGTTTGGGGAAGTGTTCTGTAATTTTCCGCGATCATGCTGGGACCCCTCTAATTGCGCAGAGATGCTAGAAACTGCTGTAAAAAGTGCGAGGAAACCGTTTGTCAGCGCATTACCAGTAAAGAGGATGGACGCGAAAGTCTCTCGTTTGGTTTGGTTGGCAATTTTCGCTATACTAATGCAGTACTCTTCCATTCTGTGATTTTATGATTTTCCCGAGCCATTTAGGAAGAACGTTCATGTGACTTGCCAGACCTCGTAATATTAAGCTTTCTGTTAACAGTATGAGTCAGAGCGAAAGACGAAGGGCTAACGCTCGAAACGTCAGTTTTAAAACTCTTTGCGGTGGCCAATTTACGTTAGCAACTCAGTTGATAACACTTAATTACCCTGTTATACTCTCCCAACGACGTAGCACCACAGTTTCTATAGAAGCTTACCCCCTTTATTCGTTTGAATGTAACAGACTTAGTCACACAAGCCTCCTCCTTCTGTCATGTTGATATTAAGAGACACTTAGACTCGCGAGAGATAAGTTCCTGTCACCCCACCGGATGAAAGCAGAGAAACTTCTCATGAGACGCGTGCAAACAGCACAATCGATTGCCTCACGACGTCTTCGAACAAATCTGCTAAACACTGTCAGGGCATGAAGAAGTATCAATGATCAAGATCTTTCTATAAGCCTTTCAAGAAGGTATACACAAAAGAGCTATATTTTACAAGAATGTTCATGATTAGGTAAACCATTACAAACTCATTTTGAAAAATGATATCAAATAAAATGTATACAGAACCTAACAGCTGCCTCTAGATATTAACAATTTCTATTATCTTCTGTATTTATCCTCAAGCCGTCCAAAATTCGTAAAAAAAAAACAGCACCTTAACGACTCAGATCAGAGTAAATAAAAATATACGTCGTAATATCTTAACTCCTGAATGATCATTTCACTGAAAAACACGAATTACATGTTTACGGAGATCAGAAATCAGCAACTTACTGTCTTTGGTAACAGCGACAAAGCGGGGATCGCCCATTCCCTCACTAAACGAGTTCACTAATGTTCCATCTAAAGAAAACACTCGAACTCTGCTTTTACCAGTATCACAAACGATCAGGTTATTACACCTGTCAATAGTAAGTCCAACAGGACGGTTCAGCTGTACGTCACCAGATCCCTCCCTGCCAATATCATACTGAAACTCTCCTCGTTTGTTGAACACTTTCACACAGTCAGCCATTACATAGGACACAAAGAACTTGTCCTCGTGATAAACGGCATGTATCGGCAAAGTATCACAGTCTAGTGCATTAAAGGACTGTTTTAGTCCCCAACCGTCAGGGGTGAGTACTTTGACTGACTTGTCACCTGAGTCACAAACGATCATGTGATCATCACTTCTAATAGACACGCTTTTTGGATCAATCAGATACTGACCGGTGTGTTTAATAAACTGACCATGTTCAGTAAATAAGAACATTTCACCTAATTGGCCAGTCTCATTATGAATGACCACAACGTCACCAGATGCTGTGAATGCCACTGATTTTGGATATGCTATTCTTTCAGCAACAGGCCCCTTGTCTCCTATCGCTCTTAAATATTTCCACTTAGAATCAAACAACTGAACTCGCTTATTTACGACATCTGCAATGGCAATGTTCCCCGTTCTTTCACTCACTGCAATGCTTCCTGATCCTATAAACTCTGCCGGTCCTTTCCCATATGATCCAAATGAACGAAGAGTCTTGTATTGATGAGCAGTCACCTGAACTCTCCAGGGACTACCAGTCAGCGGCTTCCCATTTACTTCGACAACAATCTCATGCAAGCCAATACTTTTTGGCTCATAATGCACTGTGTAGAGTCCATTTTGAAAATGCTTAGGTTTTATTTCTCCATCTTCGCCTTTAGGAGAGCGAATTTTCACAGTCACTCGGTCTTCTTCATCATAAAACAGTTTCCCCTCCGAGTCTCGTGTAGTTACAGTGAAGCCAGTTTCAGCGCCAATTTCCGCTTCTTGCAGACCGTTTCCTTCAGCTGCAGATTTTGAAGAATCAGTGTAGCTCGCGATCACTTGACCCGGAACCAAGTGTCTGACAGTGTTTATAGATTCTGCATTGACAAGATACATAACCGGTTGTGGGTTAAAAATTTCGATATCCTTTGAAGTTAAAAGTTCCTCGCATCGAGCAACCACAGTATTTCTTGCTTGTAAAATTTCGAGGCCAACTTTTTTTTGTACGATGTCTTCGCCACATTCAACTGAATTTCTTAGCTGATCTTTGAAGACCTGAAATTCCTCCAATTTCTTAGCGTAAATAATTTGTTGTGAGGCCTTAATTTCTTCCAGCTTTGTCTTGGCGGCAGTTTCATGTTCCCTCGCAATTCGAATGATTTGCTCAGAAATTTCTGTCACCTCCTTTTCGGCAGCGCAGATATCCTTTTCGCTTTTGCTCATCAGCTCAGTTTGCTCAATGATCTGTTTGTTCACGATAGCCATTCGTTCCTTGACTCTAGTGAAGACTTGTTTCATTTTCATTTTTTTTTGTTCAACTGCCTGCTGTATGTCCATCATGGTGTGTCGAGTATGAATCAATATACTGCATTTCTGGCAAATACAAACGTTGCAGTCTTGACAATAATATTGCACTGCCTCATTTTCGTGATATTTCTCTTTACACTTGATGGACTCATGTAGCAATTCCTCGGCCTTTGAGTCTTTTCCTGTCGTTTAACATGAAAGTAAAGAAAATAAAACAGTGTAATTCGTCTTCTGCAGCACTTGCCTGCCTACAACCGCCAGCTTAAACACTGCCTGTTGATTTATAAAGGGTTATAAAACTGCTACTTTGGTATATTAATTTGATACATTGTTGTAGAAATTGTACGCAACATTCTGACACCAATATTCCCTTACACTCTTTTGACATTCCTAGAGGCCTTAATGGATCTACTCTCGTATATACAGTCTATTCTGTACCAAGAGACTTCTCTCGATTACGTGTATGCTAGGTTTATATCTGTAATGTGTATGCTTGAGATGAAATAATTTGCTATTGGTATGCCATAGTCAATTACTTTATTATAATGTTACACTGGATGAAACTCAGCTTTACACTATTCCCTATGTATAGAAATTATCAACAAATTTCCATTAATTTCCGTTGTTTGGCTAAAAATCCTCTCAAAGAATTCGTTAGTAACCTTAAGGTGGAGTGGTGGAGGAGACGCGAGCATCCACTCCTTGACGCCCAGAGAATTTAAAATGATCTAGTAATTCTTGACACTGTAAATACCTTTGACAGAGCTTTCCAAATCATCCAGCTTTCTGATGACTTCATTCAGCTGATCTTTCACATTGTCTTCATCTTTCTTCCATTGTGTGAGAAGTTCTTTGTAGTGATCTTCAAGATCAGGGTCCATGACTTCAGTTTCCAGCTTGTCAATAGCTGTTTTGTACTTGACTCCTCCCAATCGCACCAGAGTGTCCCGGATGTCGCCCCAGTATGCATTGAAAGCTGCATCATCCACTGACGCGCGCTCGGCGTGACCATACACGGTATTTCTGTAATATTTGACACGAGCGATATCAGCTTCACGACTCAAGTCTGTCACAGCAGGAAGTTTATCCCAGCCTGTTGCAGGAGAAGTTAAACCGCATAAGTTTCGCAGCAGAACCATCAAAAGTGTAATGTCGAATTGGGCCGATGACACTGATGTAGAGATGGCAGGAAAGAGCTTTCCCCATTGCGTTGCGTTTATGACCTTCCTAGTTCTCAGTGTCTGTAAAGTTGCTTTATTTCCCGCCAAAACTATGTGGAGATTTATAGGTGTATGAATGGCATCAAAAGTGTCTCGGAGAGCCTGAGTGCCAACATCAACCATCAGCCGACACAGGCGAGCGTAGTTCGTCGTCTCTTTGGTGGATAAAAATGTTGGCGCAGCAGAAGCCATGGAAGGTTGCCTATCATTCAAAATCAACGATAAAAATGCAAGTGAACTATCTCTTACGATAGTTTTGCTTGTCTGCACTTGTCTGGGATCGCCACGGGAAAAAGAAATGTATGGTGAAAGGTTCTTTCGACGTCCAAACAACGATTTTGGAGAGAGATTTTTCGCTTTTAAACCTCTAATTTATCAGAAAATGGATTTGGGTAAAATTGATGCTAGGGAAGCGTAAGTCTTTGCTTGGACAACCACGAAATATGTAGAAACATCTACCGATTAACTTTTCTCTACGTGCAAGGTTTTTTGTGAAATTGACATCGCATTGGTCTCGAAATTTAGAAATGTTAGCTTTTAATCGCCAAGAAATAACTCAAGAAAGCCTTTTCAGTTTTTTTTGACGTGTGTCTACTTCTAGCTTTTTCTTTTCTTGGCTTGGTAATACAAAAGAGCGCTACAGCAGCTGTCTCAACGCAGCCGGAGCTTAAAATGGTGTGCGTGTGTGTGTGTACTAAGAACATAGCAAAAGTATTTGTATCTATGTTAGTAATATCACTGTGGGATTACTGAATGATGTAAAGTACTTAACCCTTTAACTCCGATCCCAGATCACGTTTTTAATTCTCCTCAGTATCAATCATATAATTCTCGTAATGTTAGTTCAGAGAATTTAGTATTGGATCAACTAATTACTCCCAAATTGATATTTTTCTTTATGTTCATCCCATATCTGGCTGATATTTTATTGATATTGTAAGGATAAATTCTGTCTTGGTCAATCATGGGAGTTAAAGGGTTAACAAGATTGTACCACCTCATTAGAAAGTTGATCGAAGAATAATGACAGAATATACAAGAAATTAAAGTGTGAGTGTCTTCTCTAAATGAATAAACAACGGTGTGCTCAAGCATTAAATATTATTGTGATACATCAAAGAGATTTAACACTTTTGAGATGTGTTAAAAAATTCATGCAGAAAGAGTGAGAATAACGTAACTTATACTGTTTTGCGAAGCGAAACGAAACAAAATCAGGCGAGATATAATAAAACTAAAGGAATGATGCAGATGTATTTCTAATAAGGTAAAGATAACTTCCACAAGAATTTTGGAGTAACCGTCAATTAATAAGAGGGATTTTTATTCATTTTACAAATTAGTAATTCAAGAACAACAACCTTTTTGCGAAATGGACTATTTTCCCCCCTTCGGTGACAATGAAACCCATTTCACATCACAAAAACTATACAAACTGGTACATAACCAAAAGATTTCGGCCCCCCCCCCCCTTATTTCTTAAACCATATTAAAAAACAGTTTGCAAAAGAGTAATTTTAGGAGAGATACCATTTTGCGAAATAGACTATTTTCCCTCTTGAATAATAATGTCTTTCTTTTCGAGTCACCAAAACACATTTAAACATATTATGATATATTCCCGAAGATCATGGTATGCTCCCATTTCACTCTCCGTATAAAATTTATTTCGTAAAGTAGTAATTTTAGAACAATTACTATATATTGCGAAATAGACTATTTTCACTGAGCGGTAAAGATAATGCCATTCTTGTGTCACACAATAAGTTTGGTAATATGCTAATGTATAATGTTTAAATCGATTTTCGTGACATGAAAAGGTCACGCTGTCACTGCAGTATGGAAATAGACGATTTCGCAAAATAATAACTCTTCTTAAATAACTACTTTGCGAAATGAATTAAAATCCTTCTTATCGCGTTTAACGTTTACTTCAATCTTTACCTTATTAAATGATATACCGCATTATTATTTTATTTTCGCTACATCTCGTCTGGCTTCGTTTCGTTTCGTATCGCAAAATAGAATACGCCGTCAAACCTGTATTTACGCGTAGTCACTCAATCACGAAAGTAAACCGGATTGTACTGGGTTAGTAACGTCAATATCAAAACCAGGAAACGTTCCCAGAAGCTTGTCTTCCACGAAAGTTCTTGATAAGCCACCAGAAGTTTTAAAATAACGATCACAAGGTCGCTCAACGTCTCGAAGGAACGCAGTAGACAACCTTTAAACAAGCGTGCAAGGTTGCCAGTAATTGGATCCTTGTGTTTGCGCAAAGATCTCTGGGGTCGCTACGAAGCAAATATGACAAGTTTTTTTGCAACAGAACCTAAATCCATTTATGTCAAAACAGCGGCGAGAAAGCAATGATCTTTCTCCAAAATCGTTTATTTGAATGCCGAAACGACCTTTCGCCGTATATTTCCTTCTAGCAACTTGTAACGTTTGCCTCATGGCAATCCCAAAAATTATTGCGCAAACACAGGAATACGATTACCAGTAACTCTCACACCATCATCATGTGACCAGACGACTAAATGTCAAATGTCAAATGGCAAGCCGCAATCGGGTTGAAGTTACGAGTCACGCGTGACATATCCGTCTGACTCTCACTCACGTATCTCTTCGCGGGCAAGTGCGATCGCGATCTAAATTACCCCTTTACAAGTCCTTTGATTCTCCTCATTACCTGTGGAACAAGGCTGCGTGACGTAAGACAAAAACAATCTCCTTCCATTTAGTCTTGATTTGCGCAGCATGTGTTGCTTCATCCCATGTGATTTTTATCTCAGCGAGCTCAGCCATCACAGTCCGGCGTGGGTGGTTACTGGCCAACTTGCTTTCGTTTTACAAGATGGTGTCCTGCACAGAGTAACCCTCGGGACATGTTAGGATACGAGACCGATTCGTTCTTAGTGCGTGCCACAGCCATCGGATGACCTACAGCTTTCTATTATTCTGCAAATGGTTTATTGCAGTAGAACATGAGACGAGGTTGAAGAAGTCAATATGTTAACCAAAGACACGTACATTGCACAATCCACTTCACAGTTATACAAAATATTTTGTACCGTTTGCCATGTATTCTCCGAAGTACATATCCCAGTCACAAGCCTTCTCCATTGTTGTTTGCTTTAAAATAGATGTGTTCTCGTCACCAGTCAGTTACGTTATTACTTGGCGGTTCACCCCCTCCTAAGAAAAATCCTGGGTCCGCCCCTGGAACGTAACTGTCCCCCCACCGGATAAAAGCAGAGACAGGCTTTATGAGGAAGTCTCACAGATCAAGACCTTGCTATAGACCTTTCAAGAAGGTATTCACAAAAGCGCTATATTTAACAAGAATGTTCGTAATAAGGTAAAACATCACAAACTCATTTTGAAAAACATTATAATACATGAATAATATGTTTACAGAGGTCAGAAACCAGAAACTTGCTGTCTTTGGCAACAGCGACAAAGCGGGGAAAGTCCATTCCCTCGTTAAACGAGTTCACTTATGTTCCATCTAAAGAAGACAGTTGAAGTCTGCTTTTATCAGGTTCACATACGATCAGATTATTAAACCTGTCAATGTTATGTCCAACGGGATGGTTCAGCTGTCCGTCACCAGATTCCTCCCTGCCAATTTAATGCTGAAGCTTTCCTCCGTTGTTGAACACTTTCACACAGTTAGCCGATACATAGGACACAAAGAACTTGTCCTCGTGATAAACGGCGTATGATGGGAAAGTATCACAGTCTGGTACATTAAAAGACTGTACTAATCCTGTACCGTGAGGGGTGAGAACCTTGACTGAATTATCTCCACGATCACACATGATCATGTGACGATCACTTCTAATAGACACGCTTCCCGATTTGTCGATTAATTAGGTGCTGACTGATGTGTTTTAATAAACTGACCATGTGCATGTTCAGTACACAGGTACATTTCACTTGGTTGGTTAAACTGTGCATGAAGGACTATGACATCACTTAATGTCGTAAAGGTCACTGCCGAAGTTTGTTGTTCTACTCTTTCACCACCAAGCCCCTTATTCTTTTCCTTATCGTTCTTCGATATTTCCACTCAGAATTAAGCAACTGACTCGCCCATTTAAATCATCTGCAATGGCAATGTTCCCTGTTCTTTCACTCACTGCAATGCTTTCTGGTCTTAAAAGCTATTGTGTATTAGGGTTCGATATACTTCTATAGAGTACTACGTGAATCAGACCATGTGCTCTACACAACTGCTTTATTAGAATACCGATTAACTTAATATACAATGATATATATTTATATAATAAGCTTACAATAGTTTTATTAGATTGCATCTTGTTGTGAGGGGTTGGACAACCCTAGATAAATAATTCTGCGGTGGTTAAAATGAAACTTCTCATAGAGGAAACTTGCCCATGAAGGAGTTGTAATTAATATAAATGAACAACCAAGAACAATACTGTGCAGCTCCGCAAATGATCCACGACCGCAAATTGACCCCAGCAGAAAATAGGGAATGGCATAGATTGAGCAGTTCTTATGGGGAATGACGTGGTACTGTAGTAAATCAAATATTTGTAGTTTCTTACATTTTTAAAAACTAGCAGTTTTTGAAAATGTAAGAAACTAAAATGTATTGAAATCGTAATAGGCACACTTCAAGTTATAGAAAACACAGGTAATAGTCTTTAACACAAAAATGAAAACAAACTCTAACCTTCATATAGTGTTGTTTGTGTCATTTTCGTTGTCTAATAGCGATTTCAGGCCATTTTACGGAGTTATCGCTGAGCTCTCATCCCATTACTGCCTCTACTAAGAAAACGTTGGCTGAGGCAAAGGACGCAAAAAGCTCTTCCTCGTGATAAACAGCCTAGGACAAGGAGTAGCACTCACTATCCTGTACCGTCAGGGGTGAGGACCTCGACTGACTTGTCGCCACCGTCACACACGATCATGTAGCATCACTTCTAATAGTATTAATACTGACCGAGATGTTTATAAACTGACCATTTCTTTTTCCTCGTTGACAAGACGGCTTATGAATTACGATGTATGACGTCACCAGATGCCGTAAATGCCACTGATCCTTGTCTCTGATCGTTCTTAAATATTAAAATTTTCAATCAAAACATTTCGATGACCTCGATCTCTTGTGGCCTTCAGGCGCTGATGAGTTTCAAAATACGCTGTTCACAAAAAATTCTGGGAAAAAAAGACCGTAGAAGGTCGCTGTGTTCTGTGAAGTTACATTTACAATAAATACTATCGCTATGAGTCAGCAAAAATACAATCTATTTTCTATAAGAACCTATTTCATAAGAACGTTTAGGCTGAGATTAACCAAAATTTTTGGAACTTACCATAACATTTGTTCTTTCAACAGTTAAGCTATTTAATGTATGACGTTCATGCTAAGACAGCTCCTAAAAGTCTTCTCGATAAGTTTGCGAAAATCAATACAGAACATCATTATAATACGCGATTATCTGAAAAAGAATGCTTCTCTGTCAAATTCTCTAGAACTGAAAAAATGAAAAAATCTATTACTAGAATCGGTGTGTCTATTTGGAATTCTATTCCACTTTCTGTTAAGACTCTCAACGTTTCTAATTTTCGTAAAAAAATTAAATCACTACTCCTTAATGTTCTAGGTAATGAAGATAATTATTTGAATGTTAATTTTTTAATAGAATATTTTGTGAAGTTAACCTGATATATTGTATATACCTCTAGTTGTAATTTTAGTCTTTTTCAAATAACAAAATCCCTTGTACTTGAATTTATATGTAAGGTGTTTCTTTCTGTATGTTTTTGTATTTCTTCTTTTCTTTTTTCTTATGTAATTTAATAACGCCTTTAGTTAAAGTCTTGTCCTGTCTAGATTAGCATTGTAGCTATTTGCAGGACATGAAGTTTTGTAAACCTTATATTTCTTTAAATAAATACATGAAGTTGAAGTTGAAGTTGACATACCTAGGCGGAGATTCAGTTAAGAACGGTTAATTTTTTTCTATAGGTGAGAAGTACCAGTAAAGGTAAAAGAAATGTAAATCTGTGATCTAAGAGGACAATTTACACAAATACTTGCATTTGGTGATCTATGACAGCGCGGTTATACACTAAAGAACAATTCAGTTTGTAGTCGAACCCAGACTGGTCACGTCCAAACTGATTTATTACTACACAACTTCAAGAAAATGTTAAGAACGTTTCCAGGTTCAAATCGAAAAAGCAAATAAGAACGTTAGGCCATAGCCCCAGAATTAGACGTTCTTTAAAAGAAAAGAAAAAAAAAAAAGAGTGAACATCAACAGTTGATGTTACTTCTTTTCACGACGGCTAGGAATCCATTTTTTTACCTACTTTAGCCACCGATAGTTTCCTTTTCGAAAGTGCATTTCAAGAAAATCGAGATTAATAGCAATGGACTATTAAGGGTTTATTATAATAAAGTGGAATTGCACATTCTTATACATTATGGACTGATAAGCTTTCCGAATAGGTTTGTCTTCGAGAACCCACGATTTGCGCTTCCCCTTCGCGAGTCGAGCTACAAAAGTGCGAGAAATGTTTCTAAAGCGAATCTCTTTTTTAAAAAAATCACTTAATCACATAATTTTCCAACAAAAGTATACATGACTCTAAAATTTTATTGTCTTTCATAAAGAGCTTTTGGATCTAATTTATAAACAGTTTCAGCCACATATCAATTCGTCCGTCATTTTCCTTTAGATTTCTGTAGCTCAGCAATTTCCGCCGCTCGTTTTGTTGTCGAATCCACGGCATCAATGAAGCAGCTTCTAAATGCGGCTCTCTCCAAAGTCTGAATTCCAGCAATCGTCGTTCCACCCGGAGAACAAACTTCATCTTTTAACTAAAATATTTCAAACACAATTGTTTTGTGAGGGGCTTACAGGAGAACGTACATCGGATCAATATCAGTATCTGGGCAACTGCCCACTTACCCCTCCCCTAATTTAATAACAGTCAACTGATAACAAGTTAGGGTTAATGTTGGGTTAGGGGAGGGGTAGGTGGGCAGTTGCCCAGATACTGATATTGATCCCGTACCTCTATGAGTTTACAGGCCCAAATGCATCACAGCTTTTAACCCTTTATGTCCCAAGATCTGATTGTTAACTCTCCTCACTACCTGTTGCAAATTTCCTTGCACCCTTGTTTTTTGATCGAATCCTTTATGGACCACCCTTTTTCACCAAAATAGTTGTATGCTGGATAACTTCTTTTAAGGCATTTTTAAATTTGACATCTTCATGGTCCACAAAATTGACAAACAAAACTTGGTCAATACCCAACCATGTTGACTTCAAGCTGAGTCAATAACACATATGTGCCATGATATACCTGAGCTGGATGTTTTCCTGTTTCCTGTACCAGCCGTGCTGCTCCGAGAACAGTCTGAGTGGCCAGATCCGTTGACAAAGCTCTTGGTAAACCCACCCTCACACCTCCATCACTCATTGCCTCAATGGCAAGGAAGAAAAAAGCCAGGGCACTTCCACCCACAGCAGTAATCGCATTCATCTGAGATTCTTTCACCTCCACACACATACCTGTGGTAAAAGGGATGCCTCAGTTAGCAGCACTAGTGGAATGTTGTTGCTAAAACTATGCATAATTACTGAATGCTTATGTTTTATTCTCAGAGGTCACCTACAGAGGAAAAGCATTCTGAAGTAACAGTCTCGGTTTCTTCATACTAGCCACTATCCTCACAAAAACCTTCTTGCACCATTCATGGGAGTCAGAGTTAACAATTGGTAACAGAAAATGAAATGATAAGAACCCTGGTTTTCACTCTTAAGTCAGTCAGTCAACCACACAAAAGAGCACGATGGAACTTAACAGCAAAAAGCTTAGAAAAACTGTTCATCTCTCTGAGTTTCCATACCACCCTCCTCATTTGTCTGCTCTAAAGTTTGTCAAGCACAATTTGATTGAGTTGAAAGACTGAGGTGAAATAACCTTGGGCCTCACTTAACTTACACATTACACTAAAGGAGATCTCAACAAAAGAGAAATAGTCTGTTGACACATCCATCAATTTTCCTACCACTAGTTTGAAGAAGTATTGTTATCAGTTGTACATCTGCTGCCAATGTGCACCTTCCTTTACAGAATGCCAAAGCACCACACTGCACAGAACAGGCCAAATTTGGGTTTGCTCGAATGACACGAGTGTTTGGTGGTAAACTCTAGACAATAAGGAATACATGACTACAATTAAAGATCAGGAAATTATGATGTGGTCATCATGAATATGTGCACTATGTTACATATCAATGGCTTGTTCCTCACTATTGAAGTTGGTCAAGTGTTTGCCAAAAAATATTAATTCATGTATGGTCAATTGAATGTTTAGCTTCTTAATCCCTAAAAATTCTCCATTTCTTTTTACCTTTGGAGCAGGACATATTTTATAAGACACTAAAGTTATTCTCGTTTTTTGTCATCTAATTAATATTTAAATTGAAGTTGACTTTTGAGAGAAAGAAATTCTAGTTAAGGCAATAAATTAAACATGAAGGGAAAATGAGTTTTTTGGCAAAGTTTTCACATATGTAGTAATTTACTTCTCTAAACACAACACAGGTTTTATTAGCTTCTAAAGTTTAAATTAGAACACATATGACCTGATTTGATTGTAACATTATATTATCAAATGTATTTGATCAAAATGTTCCCTTCACATTTAAATGAACAAAAAACATTGAACTAATAGAAAAAAAAGAAAAAAATAAATAACAAATAAATGCATATTGAGAATTTCAGGTTTTACAAATACTGACAGTCAAGTAAGATAACTCTTAGTGTCAGCTGTAAGAGGAAGATCTGTTATCCATATCTTTATGTCTCTTTGTTGGGAGGTATATTATAATTATCCCCTAGAAGGGGATAATTATGATATGCAAAGGCTCTCTTTTCTTTGTTGCATTGTAAATGTTATGAATCGAAAAACACTCATGGCTCTCACCTCCTCGATCACATCTGTGGTAATGGCCGCAGCTACTGACACAACAAGGTGTCTAGATGTGTCAATGGAAGACTTGATCTCTTTTGCAACAGGAGCTATTAAGTAAGGTTTTACCGCTAAAAACACCACATTTGAATTTTCAACAACTTCCTTATTATTCAGTGTTGTCTGACAGCCCATATCCTATAAAATAAGAAACATCAAAAGTTCAATTTTAAGCTACTATCTGCTAGCTCAAACGCAGGTACCACAGGGATGCAAATATTGATATATGTCACACTTGGTAACTTTGAATCTCTTAGTGACATGAATTTCTTTCTTCTAAATTTATCTTTTCACATTTTACCCTTGAAACTACATCTTTTTCGATTTCCCACGAAGGGTTTTTTTTTTTTTTTTTTTTTTGGCAACTGGGGTTCCATTTGCGTGATTAATGGAAGCATTTAACAGATTCACAAAACAACAAATCTTATTAAGAAGGAAGCAGGTAAAAAGAGGAAATTATACGTTGCTCCTCTGAGCAACTCAGTAATTGGGATACAAGCATACATGATATACATTGGTTTATAAAGCCACTCTGTGGGCTTAGAACAAAAGACGACAATGATAATAACGATGATGATGAAGATAACCTTTTCCCTCCTAAAGGTCGCTGATGAAGATTTTAATTCTTATCCTTAAGAATCCTTATTGCACCATTGTAAACTGAAAATCCACATTTTGGCAGCCTTCTTGTGACAGGATAACGAGGTTGCCTCTCGTGGTAGGGAAAAGGGATTCAAATTTTCACAAATTTTTACTAGCACTGATCGATCGTAGTTTAGATAACACGTGCCTAAGTACCTAGCTACATTTTAATTTAAAAGAGGACAAATTGTCTCACCTTCCAGACAGCCAGCGTTTTTTCCGTGGTAGCACTAGCGATAATGTTACTTGCTCTGACGGTGTTTGTCGTTATAAATCCTTTGGCTAATGCTTTTGCCATAGATCCGCCTCCGACAAATCCAACCTTTAGATCGTCCGCCATATTGAAATGGTTTTCCCCAGGTACTCTCTCCCTCTTTGGCGAGTGCCTTTGGTAGTTTCCAGTTCCCTCTCTGCAATCACTCGAGAGATCTAGATCGTGAAATGTGCACCAAGGATCAGCACTGAACGCTGGAAAGATTGAGGTAACTAAAGAGACCAAAAAATCGGAGATTTCCAGAATCAGAAAACAAGGAGATCGATTTCTCAGCAAGCGCAAGGAAAACGATCCATAAGGACGAGAAGGAAAACGTCATTCGACGTCAGTCACTCGTGCATCTACTTTTAACATTCTATTGGTTGATTGTAACTGCAAGTTAAATTTTGAAACACAAAAAAATTGACCAATAGAAAACTTATGCTACTTTCATTCGAAGTTGAATGCGCACTTCAGTGAGGCAACCTCAGGATCTGAAAAGAAGCTAATATTTCTCAAGCATTCACTTGTCCATCTCTTTCCTAATAATGGGTTGTGCGTCCTCGTTTTCACAACCTAAATTCAAAAGTGATATTCCAGCTAAGACGACGCTTTTGCTAACAACGAAACAGAAGGAGCTCATTCGGAAATCATGGAAACTGCTTCATAACAGAAGGGCTGAAGTCGGTGTCAAAGTTTTCCTGACGTAAGTGTGACAAATTAATGAAGTAACAGACTACTTGAATACGGTTATTTTATTTATCTATTTTTTTAAATTTTTTTTTGCAAGTAACCAGAGTTCTTATAAGCTAAGATTGAATAATCTTACGATAAACGAAAAAAAACAACAACAACAACAACGAGTTTACACTCCGAGAATTTGCTGTGGTCTGGAGTTATAAAAACTGAAAATGTAAACTTTTTTAACATCTTTCTAAAATCACATCCATCCGTCTATGATTTATTTATTTCAGCACTGTTAGTCGTCCGGCATATCTGTTGTCAGTTTTATGATAAGCTGATGATTATGGACAATGAGCACATTAGACTTAGGATCAATAGACTCTGCATAAGTCATTTTTTCTAAGCAAGTCTCTCGTCGGTAAAACTGCATTTAGAATTTAAAATCTAAAAAAAATTTTAAAAAAATTTAATGATTTATATCATTACCCATTTGATGAATCCTTAACAAGAAAAAAATACTGAATATGCCAAAATTATTTTTATGCTATTTTGCTTGCTACTTTGACTACGTAGAAATTAAAACTTTCGTATTTTGAGTAAGCTGTGTGTCTGGAGGCGATAAATATACATTTATTTTTACGCGTAAACCTTCCTTTATCAGGTTTGTAACTAGGAGCGAGAACAGAAGAAAGTCATCAGTCATTTGCTACTGTTGCTTTCAATTTCTTTAAAATTTAAAGTGAATAATACCAAGAATATATTTCGTCTGCTAATGGGTGTATGATTGCAGGATATAAACTGGCAATGCTACAAGAACATAATTCAATTAGTGTTTGTTGTATATATTGTTTTGATTTCACTGATATTCCCTTTCGTAAATTCAGGCAAATAAAAATGACTTTAAAAACTTTTATTTATACGTGATAAATTTACCTTTGTTTTAAAATTTCGGGATGCAAGCATGATCACACGTGCTTGCCACAAAATAAGCTTGCCAATGTATTCAGAAAGTGCATCCTGTCTAAATTATTGCCTCAGGCAGATGGGTTAGTTCGAGAGAGTACGTCATCAGTCAAGTGTAATAACTAGTGCGATTGTGTCCGAACCTATCATGAACTCAACCTCAACCCTGTCACCGCTGAGAAAGTAAATATTAGTCATTTTCAGTGCCACGGCTGGAAAGGAGATGATTTTCCATTTTAAGTTAAGAATACCGCGGGGGATAGGATACACAAATTGTATATAAAGTGCAACATAATTTGAGCGTGATTCGTGCACTTTACCACGTTTTTAGAGAACAGCCACCAAAGTTTATCGATTCAAAGAGAGAGTCAGAATTCACCGTCAGGAAATGTACAAGGAAAAAGTATTTTTTTTGGGGAAAGCAAACTGAAACCAAATTATGGTTACTTGAAACAAAAGCGGCGGCCGCTTTTGGCGAAATTGGTTTCACGCCACTCTCTCATTTTTAGTGGAAAATAAAGGATTAGGGCTTATAAATCAGTTAACTAGATTGTATTTTAAACAAAAAAGAATTCTTCTCAAGTTTATCTGTGGTGTTTTGTGTGCTGTCGTGAAAAACTGTGTAATTACTGAAAACAGCCGATCACACTAATATCAAGAATATAAAACAATGCATTTCAGAGAAGGCAGTGAAGTCAAATGACGAATGCTTCTTTAATTATGTAACTTATTAGCTGAGTTTTAACTGTTCAACATGAGACAATAAAAATATCTTAGAACACTGATAACAACATTTTCGAAAGGCAATTTTTACGCACGCTCTTACTTGCAAAGTCTCAAAGCGCACATGCGTCGGTTTATCTGATGTGCTCATGTGAAGTGATCACAGCCAAACGTCGAATCCTTTTGATTTTTCTTCAGACTTTTTGAAGAAGATCCAGGATTACAAAACATGTTCGCGGAATTCAGAGAGGTGAAACTTGAAGAGCTGGCGCGAACGCGAGAGCTTCACGGACATACCGAGAGAGTGATGCGTGCCGTGGAGAACTGCGTTAACGCGATGGATGACCCAGACTCTTTGCGAGCTTATCTGACGGAGCTGAGAAGGAGACACGTATATCGATCAGTAAAACCAACTGTAAGCAATGTAAGTATGGCTTTTAATGCTTTCTCTCCCAGGAGTGACCAAGATGTAATTTCTCCTCACAATTTCAATGCAATATCAAGAGGCCAAATGACGAGAATATCAAAAAATATAATAAAGCGATTATCCCCAAAAACTCAGAATAAACTTTACAAGAAATGTCAGGTGGACATTAAGGAGAATTGTCGTTGAGATATTGGGAGTGGAAAGGTAGACAATCTTGAAAGGCTGAGATATTAGGTAAGAAAGGCGCGGGGTAAACGTAACGTCAACCTCGTTTCCAAATCGAAAGAGATGTCTCTAACACGAAACGAGAAAGCTAACATTTCATTTTACCGATCAGCTTAGCATATTTCACTGCAGAGTCACCTTTCTGCGATTCTAGCTGGTGCGCACCATGCACTTGAGTAGTACACTAAGTCAACTACAGGCCAACTGTGTTTTTTCCTTCACTTTTTTTCCTCTTTTCACAACAGCTTCACCTGATTTCCAAAGCGTTGATTTCAACCTTTAAAGAGACCATTCAGGACGAGTGGACTCCTGAACTAGCGGCAGCCTGGGAACTACTGTTGAATTATTTCACTCTGATGTTGAAGGAAGGAATACGCTCGACAGTTGATTGACACACAGACATGTTCTTCCTCTTTCATTCAGGAAAATTCACCCTCTGCGTTGAAATTTAAAAATTTAAAGTCACGATAATTCATCTTGGAACGAATCAAATCGTCTGTTAAACTTTCTCTATGGTTGACTTCACAACTTGTGGTGTTTGCGCCTTTTGTTTGTCTGCCCTGTTCACGCGTGTGAAAACCAGTTACCAAAAAACACACAAATAAGCGGAGGTAGTTGATTTGATTTAATAATTTAAACCACGAAATTTGCACATTATCCATTTTTAAAAATACACATATAAAGAAGTTTCTGATTTATGCGAAACGTTTTTATCTTTTAACTTGATAACATGACACTACTCGACTCTTCTGAATAGACCTTCACGTTAATTAAATTTTCGACGTTTCTAATACCATCAATTCACAAGAACGTAGAACGATGCGACGCGAGCAGTGCATTGAGCGTAATTTGAGTGAGTGAAGTAAAACGAGAACCAAATTGTACCAGAGCCAGTTAGACGAAAGGCACTAAACGGTGAACCAATGACAGCTGCTTAGGGTGCTGGGAAACGCTAATGTACGTCGCTTTTTCAGGACCAATCATAGCACATAATGACGCGAAACCAAATCAATCCCGGATCACAGTCGACACCCACTTAAAAATTTCTCTCTTGTGAGATTAATCTTGAAACATAATACTTTATAACTTGGACAAACGAAATACCGAAAATAGCTGAATATATAAAACGTTTTAAGTTGATGAATTTTTTTAAACTTTAACTGATAATTCGTCGAGCCGATGGAAATTCGTGCGGGCTGTTTATCAATGGAATAAATTATAACAAAATATCCACTCTTCGATAATTGTTAATCTCTTGAAAAAAATTTCTGCTTTAATTGACAATCGGCCACTCTCGTGAGAGGTCGTCTTTAAAGAGTAAGCACGGGTTCAAATTTTCAACGTCAATTTGTTCGAAGCACGATTCGCACCAATTCATAATTAAATACCATCAGAGTAAAGTTTCTGTGTGGAGCTAACTTTCTCAATCTTGTTTCGAACTTTGAATTGGTGACTTTAAAGTCGGAGTGCTATGTACCACTAAAAAGGATACAAGCCAGAGGTTGGTTGTTCAAATGGCGCTTAACATTAGTCCCGAATTGAAACTAAACCTTGGAGGTTTGCCTCGGTGTAAGAGTCCGTAAAGTTTTTACTATTTTGTTTTGTGAATATCATTTCCTAGGCTCTATCTTGTTTTTATTTCTCTGTTTCTTTGTTCGCTTCTCGTGAATGTAAAACGGGTTCTTTCGCCGAGAATGAGCCAAGCTTGGTAGAGATGCTCTCTTGTTACAAATTAAACATGCTCATTAGAGCTAACGTCTTGCCAATTTTGTCTTAAATTAACGTAAACTTACAGGAAACGAAATAATTATACTTAAACTGTCTATAACATCACAAAGTTTCACACAAACACTGGGTTAGTTTAGTCGCCTTTTGAAAAACCCAGTCCATGTTTTCAGGGGTAAGTTCTGTTTAAAATGTAAAAATGAACCAGCTATTGCATTCCCTTTGGCACACAGCCAAAGGAGCACCCTTTCTCGGGCTTGCAAAATTTAACCAAAAAAAAAAAAGATTAGTAACCAGGTTTTTTTTTCGGTTCAGTCACTATATTCCTCCTCTTCACTCTCTCCGCTCTCGTCCAAGTCGTCTTTGTCTTCTTCATCTGAATCAGGATCCCATTGTTTGGTATCAACTTCTTTAGCTTCTTCCACATTAATCTGAAAAAGTTTGTAGAAATAAGTTATGCCGATGTCTTTTATGCTCGATAAAACTGAATGTTCTTCAGCCATTGCCCATTCGGAAATTATTAACATCCAACATCTGTTTACCGTTTTGGATTGCGTGCTCTGATGCTCCAGTACTGACCTACAGGGAACTTTATGGTTAGCTTCGCCATTATCGTTAACTATTTCAATCATTCCTGTAGCAGAGGCATCATCGAACACACTAAGTAAAATTACTTACGTTAAAATTTTGATGAACGTCCAAGTCCAAGTAAGAGTCTGATCGTAGAGTGACAGTGTAATGGTACGTTTTGGCTTTGTACGGTGCTTGAAACTTCAGATCCAGCTGGAACGAGAAGCAACAACAGTTTATATTTAATCTACGTGCAAACATCTTCGTTTTCATTTTCGAAATCTCCAACAGGAGGCATGAACACATAAAATTGTTAACGTTTTCGTCTTCAAAGAGAATGACTTTAAAATGAATTTTTTAGATTAAATATAAGTTCTTGTTTTGAGTTTCAACGATGATGTAATTGATCCTTAAGCGATCGTCAAGTTTGCTTGGTAAGAAACAATTTGAATTCGTGATCAACGAAAACTTTTCTATTATGGACGTGATTTAGTTTTAGGTATTTCTTACGACCATTCAACAGTTCCGCACACCCAGCGACTAAAAGGAAGGATTCTGTCGTTTGTTGGTGCAAGAATGGGTGTGTAGAGTCAGAGATCACACAGATACCTTTTCTTCTTCTTTAAGGTTGCATATCATTTGAGGCCGTGTTATTAGCTCTCTTCTTCTGCGATCTGTGACATATATCCACCACCATTCATGCTTTTCCTGTAAAAAAAATAGCAAGAAAAACAGTGAAACTAAACTCATTTGTGGGATTTAAAGATAACGTAATTTTTCTAGGAGGAAACAAAATTCAATTCAAGTCAAACCTCTGGAAAATAAGGCGCATGGACGATATGGCTTTCTTTTGACTTCGGATCCAGAATTGCATCTCGAGTCCTAACTTCGGCTTGCAGTCGGTCCCACTCGGCTTCATCTTCAGAATCCCGAGCGCTAACATCATGTGGAGCGTAGCTGTCATCATCTTCACCAGAACTAAGAGGAAAAGAAAAGGAGCCAATGAAGTTCTCAAGAACAATCTTGGCTTTTAATCAAAACATGTATTTTTCTGTTACCATACGAATATTTTCTAATTTTCCCTTAAGGAGAAGGTAGCTTTACAGTTCCAGCGAGAAAAGAGCCACTATAGCGAGACTTTTTTCAAAATACCTGCTGCTATCCAAGTCAGATTCCTGCTCATCAGGTTTTCTTCTTCCTTTCTTAATTTCTTCAATTTTCTCGTTCGTAGTATCATCATCAGTTTCATCATTGTCTTCCTCGTCGTCCACTTCTTCCTTCTCCGCTTCCACGTCCACTTCTTCCTTCTCCGCTTCCACGTCCACTTCTTCCTTCTCCGCTTCCACGTCCTCATCCTCCTCCTCTTCCTCCCTCTCTTCTTCTTTCTTGTTCTTGTTCTTCTTTTCATTTGATTCTTCTTTTTCTTCTATAGTTTTCTAAAGAATTAATAGACAGAACAGCGAATTGAAATAATTACTAAGTAATTTTTTTGTCATTTCATCGTGCACGTTCCAGAATCACATGAAAGTGGCGAAATTTTCAAGATGAGGCACAAGAATTGAAAAATTCACGACTGGATCGGCCAGAGGTTATCATGGAAAGACTCAGAAATAGCGGAAGAAAGAAGTAAAAGTTCCCACAGAGTCATTTTCGATCACCGCACATGAGGATAAGCAAACCTGATCCTAGAAATAAGCACAACAAAAACTGAAGATTACTTGTTTTATAAAATGTCAACTTTCTATGCGGAAAACTTCCCACAGGTTCTCTACACTTCAGAGACAGGGCATATAACACACAGTGTGTACAACGTCACTCCCTTTTTTTTCTTTTCTCCTCGCAACAAATGAATCAGATATCTTACTTTACGTCATCATTACTTTCAAAGTCAACACGCGAAAGCTCATCTTGATTTATCGATATTTTACCTCTTTCTCATCCTGTGAGTTTTTCTTTTTAGGCTGTTGTTTCACGGGTTTTTTCTTGGGTTGCTTTTTTTGTGGTTTGGCCTTTTTCCCTTTCTTTTTGTTTTTCTGCCAGACTTTGTGACCACCAGGTTGTGGTGAGCCCTGTTAACAAACACGGGATGGGTTATTGCCAAACTTAATTTCTTGACGAAAAAACATTCCCACTTCCTCCCCCCCCCCCTTTAGTACCCATTGTAGAGAGCGTATTTCTATATAATAAACATTCAGCAAATAAAGCTGTAAATGTACAGTTACTTCCCACGAATGAGATGCTAAACGGTCACAATTTCACCCCCCTCATTTTATTAAGTTTCTGTGATAGTCCGCTGACACCGTCTCCACTCATTCATTAAATCGTTAGTCGAGAACAGCACTGTGACAGTTTAACGTTCCACCGAGTATAGAGTTTAATAAAGGAAGACCTGGCCATGACATGTTCCTCTTGATACGAAGTCCAGCTCACTAACTGTTGGACCACAAGTGTTTTTAGTTAAAAAAAAAAATAAATAAGAGAGAGAGAGAGAGAGAGATATTTTCCATAAAGAAGTACCTTTGGTTCTAAAGTTTCACATGGATTCACGCCATTTAGTAGTGGGACATCACCTTCGTTTTCCTTCTCGAATAGCTCCTGTAAAAGTGGAACTAAACAATAAGAAGGGTAGGAATTCTCTCTCACTAGCCTCTGAAGAGGGGGGCTTTGGGGTCTATTATCAGCTGGAAAACCATACGAAAAATCATCCAAAACCGCAAAAAAAAAATTGAATCAAACCAAAAACTGCATGCAAAACCGTCAAAACCTATAAATTTTCACCTCCCAGTTATCAAACATCTAATTGATCCGATACAATGGCGACAAGTGGAGCATACAGAGGTTTCGTGGCTATACGAATCGAGTGGAGGCGTACAATTGCCGCTCAGGTCGAAGTGAAACTGCAACCCAAAAGGGCAATGAGCACCAAAACCGAAAAACCAAAGTTTTATGGCACAAAAACCGATCTAAAAAATAGCCAAACCCGCAAAACCGAAAACCCCAATGTCCCCTCGTTAAGGTTTTCTAGACGTTTCAAGAGGCGGAAAGATGGGGACAGCATACGTACTCTCCCTCCTTCTATCTCTCTAACCTCTACCAGAAAGCAGTTTGCAACACGGGGCGATCTTCAGTATCATACATCGTAGTGAAGACCACAACAATTGATCTGTCTTTTAAGCTGTGATCCATTTTTTCACCTAAAGTCTTGGTTTTCGCCAAGTGGAAGAAGCAACTCACCCCAAGGTTTCGTCTTTTTATTATAACAGCCACAGTCACTATTGCGCCTGTTGTGATCAGTCCTGCATCATCTGCATCATCCAAGACTGTTAAAAATAAGTTTGAAATGTGAACCTCAGGAAAAATGTTCAGCGCCTCGTCAAAATAATTAGCTTGATTTCCCTATTATTCTCGTTTTATCATTGACCAACTTTGACAATAACGGCCTTCAAGCTAACAACGACTCCTAGAGCATGTCTATAGTTAAAAAAAAGCAGAAATCATTTTGTTTGGTAAACTTGAAAACATTTTGTCTCTTCTCAGGTGTATGCGATAAATTTTGACTCAAAGACTGAAGGGATCATTGAAATAACAAATAAAATGTAGCTCTGGTGTGAATGAACTTCAAAATTTATTTCCATGATAGGAATAAATGAGCATTAATTTGTACTATAATCTAAAAATTAGTTTCACAAATTTGAACTGATTTGAGAGTCTTTCCTGACTAAGAGAGCAATTTGTGCATTAATCTTGTGCTTTCTAGAAATTTTAGTTTCATCCTGATCCACTCAGTTAGTTTGCAAGGACAAGCAAAAAAAAAGAAAAAAAAAAAACAGGGGGATCACAATTAACTGAGAACCCTGTCAAATGTATTTTCGCCCGCCATATTCCCTTGCCTCCACTTACTAAGAGACTGGCAAAGTCTTAAACACAGTCATATTGTATCTATGAATACTACACACAATGTTTTCTCACAGTGTTGTGTAGCTGTAGAGCCTGATGGATAGAGATATGGCCAGAAATGCATGCAGTAACAAAAATAGCAAGGATTCATCAAAATCATCAAATCTGCTGAGCTGATTTTGCTTTGACATATTTGACTAAAATTTGCCAAAATCATCAAATTCATGAATACTCACTCCTTTTGACGAAATTACTGCATGCATTTCTGGACACAAGAGTGGATAGATAGCATAATGAACTAACCATGAGGTTTAACATCCATCTCCACATACGGAAACATTGAACAAACATTAATGACATCTTCATACTGTTCCCCAGTTAGGTTTCGCAAAAGAGCCCTGTAATGTGATGCAACAAGGTGTCAACTGAGTTGAAAAGACAAAATCAGCTCATTAATTACCTAAAAAACATTCATTGATTCCATCATTCACTCTTGAATAAATATTGATTAGAGTAAAGACAAGACTGACCTTCTGTCCTCATCTTTCATACTTGCCAGCTGCTTGATGGAACGAACACTTCGCTGTGAACAAGGAGTGTCACAAACAATATTATACTCACTCACCTTTTTCACAGAAAGATAAGAACATTTCATTTCGTGATTCTTTGTTTAAATGACTGATGTATCATGCTTTGCTACCATATAAGAAGAAAGACCTAATTCTGTGAACAGGTCACTTGAAAAATAACTCAGATTGAGGTCTTACTGAATAACAAACATAAGTGATAACAGCTCCCTCAGGGGAAGATAGCTTGCATATTTGTACCTTAAACTATTCATGCTGGTGAAATTCAATGCTTTAAGTATAATTTAAATTTTATTTTTTGATAAAATCAAGATCTTCTACCTTTTTGGTGGTGAAGTGTCGCAAATTTTCCTGACTGAGATGAGGTAGTTGTAACAAGGGAGACTTGGTGTCCCACAGCCCCTGAACTATCATTTGACTGACACGCATACAATTCTCCACTGTCTCCAGCCGTGGTGTGTTTGTAACTGAAAAATGAATAATGATCATACATCTTGCAAAGAAACCATAAAGATGCAGTGGCTTTAGCATCCAGGACTTCACATCAAAAGATCAGGGCTAGCTCCATGCATTTTGTTTTTTAATCTTGGCCAAGACTCTTTGCTCTCACTGCCTCTCTCAAAAAATTTCCAGTGGCCTTATCAATTTGTTACAAGTTATGGTAGGCTGGAAAAATCATATATGGATTTGATTAAACTTCATCCACTAGTTTCAACATACCTCTTCCTTCTTTGGCCATGCCAACCAGCTGTGACACACAACTCACCATTTCTTGAATGAGGAATGGACTCTTTTGAAGTATTAAGTCAAGATCTGAAATGCCACAATGAAAATAAGGTTTTTTTTTCTTTGAATAACAGATAATGATCATTTTTTTATTTTACTGTATCAGACCTTTACAGTATATCCCATTTCAAAGGTCCTTTGCCAGGCCCTAAGCCACCCCTAGTCTTAAGTGTCCAGACACAACTCATTCAGCAAAATGGTACAAAATCAGATTGGATATGGACAATTCATAACACAAAGGGTTTATGATAACAGGATTTCACTTTATCTTGGATGTAAGGAAGCCCATGGGCTAGTCAGTACCATGAATATACACAATTCTCATAAAAAGACTTTTCCCCTGCCTCACCTAATTTGAGCGTGAGCCGTGGAAGCTCTAGGCGTGATAAGTGAGCATGGATTAGAGCTCTTGCCTTGATGCTGTAAGGGTAACAAAGTGGTGCCTCTTTGTTCTTGTCCCCCAGATTCGGCAAGTCTCGCATGAGCTAACACAAGTCACAAATGAATCAGACAAATGAAATAAGGCACAGATAACATCATTATTTTTATGCACTAAACTATGAACCCTTACACCCTAACATCAGTATGCATATTCTCCATACAGTTCTCTGTACATTTCTCAAGCTGCTAGACAAGGAGGATTTGTTCAACAATCAAGAGCCTCTTTAGTTGGTGATCATTTCCTTATTCTTGTCACCTCAATATTTGATGCATCAGTGTTATTGTAGCAAAAAAATTAGACACTAGTCCCTCTTAAGCATGCAAGGGTTAAGTTAAAAACAGACATACCCATAGCCCATTGTCTCACCTCTGGTAACTCTGAATTATCACTAGGCCTCCCCTGAACTTCATTATTGTGACCTTTTTCAAACTCGAAGGACCCAGCCAAAATCATCACCACACCTATGAGAAGAGCATTCTGTATAATTCTGAATAATCCCCTAATTAATCTTTTTCTTCATTTTCATCTCTTGTCTGCTTGATATTGTATTGATATTGTGAGGAGACATTTTGTGTTTGTCAATCACAGGAGTTATGAGTTAAGTGATCAGTGATTTATAATGGTAATAGGACTGAGTACAGTCCAATTCAGTCTATAATCATGCAAGTGATTAAAAAAATCAGATGACCGCAAAGTGGAAGTCCAATTTGTTGATCACTTGCATGATTATGGACAGAATTGGACAACACAAAGTCCTGTTACCAATTAATCATAACCATTACAATTTCCGAAAAAAAAAGTTAGGTGATCAGTGATTTATAATGGTAATAGGACTGAGTACAGTCCAATTCAGTCTGTAATCATGCAAGTGATTAACAAAATCAGATGACCGCAAAATGGAAGTCCAATTTGTCAATCACTTACATGATTACAGACAGAATTGGACGACACAAAGTCCTGTTACCAATTAATCATAACCATTACAATTTCCAAAAAAAAAATACATCTAAGACAAACAGCTCCAGTAGGGACAATGTCTAAAGCAAAAAATATTTAGAAATTTTGTTTTGGGTAAGTGGTTGTTGCTATGGTTATTGTGATCAATTCTGTCATTGGTGGATTTAGCTGACTGAACTTAGTATGATTGGCTGCTTCAACTGTCCAATTACAGCCAACTGTCCAATTATACTGTCTGATCACAACTGTATAGAGTGATTAGTGATATATAAAGCAGCTAATGCATCAATCACATTTGAGGAAATTGTAATGGTTATGATTAATGCTAAAACTGGTGTGATATAGTGTAATATACTGTACATGATATAGTTTCCTTCTCTGCAGTGTCAAGTTACTTGAAAAAATCCTTTGAGCAGAGAATTTGTTGTGTGGTTCTCCTTTTCCACAATATTACAAACTGAGTATACATACGTTTAGATTGCATGGCTGGTGTCTTGAGAAAAAAGTGGTAGTACAGCTGAGTGGTATTCAAAAGGATTTGTTCACAGCTATACTGGATTGACTTGTACCACCATGTCCCCTGGTCAAAAATTGAGAGATATGAAGTAAATGTGTTGGGCTTAATAATACACAAGTCACAGCATATTGAGCTGTGTGGCTGTGCAGCAAGGTCTATCAAATCTGTATGGTATAAATTTCTTAATTTTAAAGGAACACTAAATCAAAATTGCTTCAAACTGGTTTGATTTGTATAATTGCTCTTTGTTCCAGATATGTTACCATGATCCTTACAAAAAGAAAACACAAATCAGCCTACCTTTTATTCATTTTAAGCTGAAATCATGCAGCAATGATACTAAAATCAAAATATTGAGTTAGAAACGTACCACTGCAATTGGAAGGATCACCATGAAGGCAAGTCCATAGGCTCCCAAAACCTAAATTGCACATAAGCAGGAAAATGATATCAGATTTTTTTGCCAATATAAACCTGAGAAAGCTCATCATACGTATGGACTTTTACCTCATAATATAAAGATTTTCCTAACAGTGGCCTATTTCTAAGTAACTTGTGTTATGCTTTTTATGTCATCTGCTACGGAATGTTATTTCCATGTACAAGGATGAGCACCAGGACTCAGTTTGAAAAATGAAATGAAAAGTAGTTTCGAAACAGACCATTAAAAGGTTCACTTCAGCATTTTACTCTGCTACAATGACATAGTTGACTAAATTTTCATAATCACTTTTTAACACCAACATTGTGTATCTGCTAAAAGAAAATCTTGAGTTTACAGATAGCAAATTGTCTTTGTTTTACTGAGTGTATGAAAAAATGTACTTTAGCATAAAGGGCATCTACTTAGCTTGCTATATTATGCCCTTCTCCATTATCTTTATCTTGTTGTAATTATTCAAAGGTTGTGATTGTTGAAATGGAGGAAATAAAAAATGAAAAAGGAATTTATTAACTAACCCACATGGAATTTTCCTTGCTAACAAGCCAGGAAGGTAAGGCTATTCCAAAGCTTGTTGCTACAAAATAAAGTAGAATGAGAAATTTTATTTTTGTTTCCGTGTTGACTTTTCTCCAAAAAAAGTAAACCATCATTTACATGTTAAGGTACATTTACATTCTCCAAATTGGAGGTGGCTGGTGGGGGATATTTACCTAGCCACAAAGTGGAAACTTCAAGGTAAATATCCACTACTGGCCACAGACACTGAGTTAAAAAGTTGTTTTAGTATATATAATAAACAATGAGGTAATGTAGCGCAAAAATAAGATCTTAACTCATTTATTCCTGCAACAGTTGCGATATTTTTGGGTACAAACCTCATGCATGTTGCTTGGAGGTGAATAGAAAATAATATTCAGAGTTTGAGTAGCCAATCAAAGCATGCCTTCAACATTATCTACTGTTTTGATTAGTATATAAAAATCTTTATTTATATAATTATACACCTTCAAACAAAATGGAGTTAAAGAGATTTCCAAAAACATTCTTTGCAGTATAATAACCCTTGTAACTTGTTCATCTTGTCTATCACTGATGATGAAATTAATCATCAAAATAAAAAATATTTAACACTAGTGACATATTAAGTCTTACACACCCCCAGGTCCATCAGGGTTGCCATGTTCCTCCCAATTTTTTCGTGATTCTTCATTAGTTAACCTAGAAATTAATATTGGTTATTTAGACACATATTACAAGTTCTCAAGAACCCCAAATATTTGGAGAGATTGAAGTGAAAAAAAAATTTTTTTTTTTAACTTACGCTTCATATGCTTTTGCTATCCTCATGAACTTTTGGGAATCACCAGTGTCTTTGTCAGGATGGAATTTCATGCTGAGTCTGCGATACTGCCGACGTATATCTGCTGTGCTTGCACCCTAATGGAAAGACAAGGGGAGATTATAAGTAAACTGAGTGTACTTTTCAACAGAGTGTGAAAAAATTAAATATATCTGATAAAAAGAAATCACAGAGGCCAGTCAAGGTGAAGGAAAAGCTCCCAAACAGCCAAAAAGATCAAGTTAACACATGAAACAGGGTTAACCCTTTAACTCCCAAGATCTCATCAGTAATTCTCCTTACTGTCTCCCATACAATTCACATGAAGTTAGTTTGGAGAATTTGGAATTGGATCAACAAATAATCCCCTAATTGATGTTTTTCTTTATTCTCATTACTTGTCTGCTTGATATCACATTGATAGTGTAAGGAGAAATCCTTTCTGGGTCATTGGTGGGACTTAAAGGGTTAAACACATATCATCAATTTGTGACTGGTTTAGTTGAATAATAAGTGATTATTTAAGAGAGTGGCATTACATCTCAGGACCAATCACAGAGGGACAAAAAAAAAAAGCAGTGAGAGGCTAGATTACTTGTGCTTTCCATGCTCAGCTGAAACTTGCACTGCCAAAATTGTGTATCACAGTAAATAAAAGGCTGTAATTGTGGACACATCATCAAGGTCTGATACTTTGTAGTCAGTTGACCTCAATCTAATAATTCCCAGGAAGTTTTTGTTCAAGTGCCATAAAATTAATGTAAACACTGAAGTCACAAAGGCCAATCACCATTAAATACTTCTGTTTTTGATATCTGTTCATCACATAAATCACTGAATAAGATGTATGAAAGGAACAGATTGTTGTTGAAGTTAGTCAAGCAAAGACTGAGTTGATGTACAAAACTGTCTTGGAGTCAGCAGTTAAAAATAACTAGCAGTGTAAAATAGAAAAAGAGCACACTCTTGGCCAACACTGTTAACTTGACAACCATATTGTTATTTCAGTGGAACTACTTTGAAAAGACAAGTTTTTCAACTTTTGTTACATGTAGTCTCATTTTAATTCACAACACTTAAGAACATTTTAATCCAATCAGCTTCTCAAAGGAGGTCAATTTTTTTAACAAACATGCCTTTTCCGACTAAAAACCATTGTCTGCAAAATTGTAAAATTGACAATAGTCTAAATACTAATCTGTGTTCACAGACAACATGCATGTAACAGCCTTATTTATAAACTTTTTTCATTTCAATTCGTTTACAATTACTCACTCTGTCCAACTCTAAGACAGCATAAGGATCATATTCAGCGAATTCTCTTTCAAATTGAGACACTTTATATGCTCCAATAAAGAACAAAGCCCATAAAACTGCTATAGCTGAAAGACTAAAAAAGAACAGGTACAAATCAAAATTAAGATGACAGATAATAAATATTTTTCATAAAATAATATCTTTGGTTCTGATTTTGTTCTCCTTAAGTTAAAACTTATCTTTGTACATCAACACTTAGAAAGAAAATAAAGAAAAATTGTTCTTGAACTTAGGTATAATTGAACCATTAAAGGTTTGTTCATTGATATGTTGTAAAGGACACAATCATGAAAAAACAAAAGTCTTGGAACGAACTCAAAAGGGAAGGTATAGCAGTTAACAGAGAGAATTACCTTCTCCATCAAAAAAATTCAAATTTGGCTTGGCTTTGATGGCTGAACTTAAATCGGTCTAAGCCTAGAACTGATACAGTACAAAACTGGCGTAACAAAACTGTGGTAACATAAACACTCTTAATTTCTCTGAATGAAATATTATGATTTCTTTTTAATACCTTTTCAAGGAAGTGACACAATATCAGTAACTAAATTAGAACATACGGATAAGTAACAATGTTATAGTTGATCCTTTGTCCATTAAATCTATTCTACTTTAATTCTCTTTTCAAGGTGCGCGACCATTTGCAGTAAGCTTACAATTTATCCAGGTAAGCAATGAATACATTTGCCTTAAGTACACATGTTAGGTACTTTTACGAGCAATACTTCGCCAAAATTTTACTTGATTGAGCTAACTAGTGTTCAGGACAACTAAGTAAAGAAATCAATATTAGATATGTCCATATATGTGAATGGTGAGTCTATTTACTTGGACATGTACAAAATATAACGGAATAACCTCGAATTTGGCGATTTTCCTTTCAGCCAAAAGAGTATGAAATCAAAACGACCAAGATCTAATAATTTAAAAGCAAAAAAATCTGACAAAATCATCCTTAAAAATAACAAAAAGGGAGCGCATCGAAGATCCAAAAGACACGTCATTCTAAAATTACAAGACAGATGATTGTAACAAATTACCTCACATAGCGAATACTCTTCGATTTCGGCTCCTTTTTCCGCAACAATTCCCGTTTCTCTACACATGGTGGACATCTACAGATTTTAACTGTTTCCTTCTGATCCTCTGAAAAATGGGTGTTAAAAGCACATGGGTTAAAATATAAAAAAATTATAAATATAAGGTAGAAGACGGCCATATGGTAAGAGATCCAAGCCGGCCGGAACTAATTTTAACGCCGCCTTCTGAGTAACTGACTCACACGATTTCGAACTTACCTGGCAATTTTGTGACCTTCCATACATAATATGTTAGGGGCACAAGCACTATACCAAAGAACGATAAAAGAAAGTAATAAAAAGTTGTGCCTTTTTCATCGTACTCGAATTGAGCTCCCGCCATCTTGATAGAGAATTGTAGCTGTTAGCGGTTTTCAATGTGGTAGATACTTTATGTATGAGCCATTATTATGTCCTCAATACGTATTATGTCCTATACTTTACATACATGTAATGTACTTTATATACAATACCCTCACACACATACAGGGCTAAACAAGGCTAGATACAGCTATACACAGCTCTACAGGGCTATACACAGCTATACAGGGCTATACACAGCTATATAGAGATATACACAGCTATACAAGGCTATACAGAGCTATACAGGGCTATACAGGGAAGGAGTTCCCTTGGAAATGATAATAGTGAACGACTGTTGTCATGTAAGAAATCTTTATGAACGCATCTTTTCAGGAGTAAAAATTAGATTGGACTTGTTTCATGCGTGTTCAAGGATAGTTCAAACTATTTCCAAAAAAAACAGTTACGGTAAGCAGTTTTCCTCTGAATTGTCTCTCATCTTACGTCGAAATGGAGACCTTGGTACAGAAAGGACAACGAGTACGCCTAGCTCAGATGAGATCGAGGCAAACCTAGAACGGTTATTGTTTTCTTGGAAGGATCGTTTGCCTAAGGAAACTCTCCATTAATTAGAATGCCTTCGCAAATACATACAAAAGGGGTGTCTTTCGGACATACCTCCTGGATGCGGAATAGAAAAGAATGAACGTTTACACAGACATATTAATAGATCGCTCCTCTGTGGTGTCTTGGACCAGAACTCGCGATAACTGTAATGAGTTGTGTATCGTTTGCCTGGAATTGCAAACGACAAATAAACAGATTGACCTCGAGAGCTAAGCCTGTTATGCCAGTTGAAATAATTAGAGAAGGTAACCTTTCATCGCCACAACAACACATGAAGCAACTTGAAATTTCTCATGAAGAGGACTTCATTAGCACATGGAGTAACGTAAATTTTCCGGGACTCGTAGAGCGACTTAAAACCTGGAGTATCGTAGATTATATCATCCAAAGGGTTCTACATCTCCAAGATTTTATGGACACCTTTATGGAAAGATGTAAAAACAAAACGGTAGATGTCCTGGCTTTCCTTTGGTCCACCGGTTTAAAAACTGAAAAGTTTATAGAAGTAGAGAAAAAGATGAATTCTTTGGAATTAGACTTAACTGCTTAACACATGGATAATTTGATAAGGAATCTTTAGGGTTTTAACCTTGAAGTTGACAAGATCGAAAGAGATGGGAACTGTTTTTTCAGAGCAGTTGCCTCACAGCTCAATAGACACTCGAGGGAATACAAGGAACGTATCGAAGAGCACTGCACTTCCCTTGGATTAGGGAATTAGTGAAGCTTTCGACACACGTAGACTTGGGGAGCTGTTTGTGAAGAAGTCTCTGATAACATCGAAGAGTACAGAGACTGGATGACAACTGGCGTTAATGGGTTAGAAAACGTTTACAAGTTAGCCAAGACGGATTTTTCGCAAATGAAGTTGGTGATTTATGCACGAGAGCAACAGCTAAAGTCTTGAAAATCTAATTGCGATTGTTGCCGCTCTCCCTTCAACACCTACGGTACCATTCCTACAACACGAGTTCCTTACCACCACACCCATCCACATTTCATATGATCATTCTGGGCCAGGCCACTATGATACCACAAAAGGTACTCAATAACTGTTCAATAACCCTTGGTTAAATAAGCAGTTGTAAATTCTGATAATGCTAAATACCTCCTCATATATCGAGGTTTGAACTGAGAATTTTTCGAGATCCTCCCGATGTCTTGGCACCTTTATTTGGTTGAATTCTTGTACTAGTACTAAGTTATAAATGCTTACGTTCATGAAATTGAGCCAGAAATCATTTAATGGAGAAAATTATGTTTTCTTCATTTGTGCTGAAACAAATTCTGTAAATAGAGGCTATTTCAGATATAAGTAATAACTATTTACCGAAGTGGAGGTGGCTAGAAGCAGATATTTAATATTCATTAATAGCCACGACACGGAGGCGAATATCTGTTTTTAGTACACACTAAATCAGTGAGATAATATAGCACAAAAAGATGATTTTAATCATTTTATTCCTGCAAGTGCGGGAGCGTGAAACTCGCGAGTTGCTCGGAGGTAAATAGCAAAAGATATTCGAAGTTTGAGTAGCTAATCAGAGCGCACCTTCAACGCTATCCACTACTTTAGTATATACTAATGACCTTTAACTTGTCGAAACCTTGTCGAAAACCATTATTAATTGTATTAATTCTTGACAAAGAAAGAACAGGTTACATGCTACAAGAAGACTTAAGAAGACGGTCTGCATCTGCTTCAGTTCCTGCCGTTTGAATTGACGCTTTTTTAACAACTTTATTTGGTTTATAACGTAGTAATAACTACACCTCTAGCTTGTAGCACGAGCAAGTTCTAACTAACTGTCTACGTGCAGGGCCAGTCAATGTCAAAAGACGTTCTCAGGCAGTCAAAAAGTGTTTGTTTGACAAAAAGCTGGAAGGAGAGCGGATTCGAAAAACTAAAGGAAGGAGCAATAGAACACTCGCCTTCAGGGAAACCTGAGCAGGCGACCAGACTTGAGTAGCGTAGCAGAGTTGTGACTTGACTAGCGATAAGTATGGCGCGCGCCGGGTAGGCACGTCAGTTAGTAATGGACATGTCCGCTTTAGGAGCCCAAAGAGCTTGATGTCTCAAGTGGTGACGGTGTATATATAAGGGTGCCAAGACAACGTACCCGTAATTGTAACTCCTAGATCTTTTTCCGCGGACACTCGCACAAGTTGTGTGTTGTTTAGAGTGTATTGGTAAATCAAAGGAGTTTTCATTCGCGTCACAGTAAGCGTTGTGCATTTCTAGGTGTTGAAGTTGATGTTGTTTCCCTTTGACCAGTCATTCACGTTTGCTAGAGTGGTCTGCAGAGACAGGCAATCGCTGACGGAGCTGACGTTTCTATGCAGCAATAATGAACAATAATGTCCCTAACAGGCTCCCTTGCAGGACGCCGGAAGTAACCGGGGCCCATTGCGATGCAGAGCCGTCCAAAACTACCCTTTGAGCTCGACCCGATAAATAATCAGCGAACCATGCAAGTAATTGTCCCGAGACCCTATACGCCCTTAGCTTGGTCGAGAGAATGGCATTATCCACTGAGTAGAATGCTTTCGCAAAATCCAAGTAAATCACATTAGTCTGAATGTTCTTATCCTACTAAGTAGTGGATAACATTTTTCGTTTAGCCCTGCAGGTTTTCTACGATCGCTTGAGCACTTAAGTGGTATCTATGGCCTATTTCGGAATAAAAATTTAAAAGAAGATCAAGAAAATCCATTTTACAGCATTTTTATACTTATTAGATGACAAACTGATCTTTAATTTCATTTTTGATGTGCCTAATCCTTCGCCTTTCAGGAACAAATAAATCTGATGCAAATTGAATCGTCACAGCAATTGAAAAACGATTTCAATCACAAACTTTCAATAGAATAGCAACGGGAACCCAAAATTTCTTCCAATCATTTCTACACATCTCTGTATATCTGTGTATAGCTCTGTTAAACAGTGTATGGTTCTGTGTAGCTGTGTATAGCCCTGTATAGGTGTGTATAGCTCTATTTAGCCGCGTATTGCGTGTGTATAGCTGTGTATAGCCCTGTATAGCTATGTATAGCCCTATATAGGTGTGTATAGCTCTATTTATCTGTGTATAGCTCTGTATAGCTCTGTATAGCTGTGTATAGCCTTGTATAGTCGTGTATAGCTGTGTATAGCCCTGTATAGCCCTGTATGGCAGTGTATAGCTGTGTTTAGCCCTGTATAACCGTTTATAGCTGTGTATAGCCCTGTGTAGCTGTGTATAGCCCTGTATAGCTGTGTATAGCCCTGTGTAGCTGTTTATTGCCCTGAGTAGCTGTTCATAGCTCTGTATAGCTGTGTATAGCCCTGTATAGCTGTGTATAGCCCTGTATAGCAGTGAATAGCCTTGTATAGGTGTTTACTCCTCTGTATAGCTGTGTATAGTCCTGTTTAGCTATGTATAGCTGTGTATAGCCTTGTATAGCTGTGTATAGCCCTGTATAGCTGTGTATAGCTCTGAATAGCTGTGTATAGCTCTGAATAGCTGTGTATAGCTGTGTATAGCTCTGTATTTCTCTGTAAAGCTGTGTATAGCCCTGTATAGCGGTGTCTAGCCCTGTATAGCAGTGAATAGCCTTGTATAGGTGTTTACACCTCTGTATAGCTGTGTATAGTCCTGTTTAGCTATGTATAGCTGTGTATAGCCTTGTATAGCTGTGTATAGCCCTGTATAGCTGTGTATAGCTCTGAATAGCTGTGTATAGCTGTGTATAGCTCTGTATTTCTCTGTAAAGCTGTGTATAGCCCTGTATAGCGGTGTCTAGCCCTGTATAGCAGTGAATAGCCTTGTATAGGTGTTTACACCTCTGTATAGCTGTGTATAGTCCTGTTTAGCTATGTATAGCTGTGTATAGCCTTGTATAGCTGTGTATAGCCCTGTATAGCTGTGTATAGCTCTGAATAGCTGTGTATAGCTGTGTATAGCCCTGTATAGCTGTGTATAGCTTTGTATAGCCCTGTATAACCCTGTATAGTCCTGTATAGCTCTTTATAGCTGTGTATAGCCCTGTATAGCAGTGTATAGCCCTGTATAGCTCTGTATAGCTCTATATAGCCCTGTATAGCTGTGTATAGCCTTGAGTAACTGTGTATAGCTATGTATAGCCGTGTATAGCTGTGCATAGCTCTGTATAGCTGCGTATACCTCTGTATAGCTGCGTTTAGCCTTGTATAGCCCTGTAGAGCTGTGTATAGCTGTATCTAGCCTTTTTTAGCCCTGTATGTGTGCGTAGGGTATTGCATGTAAAGTACATTACATGTATGTTAAGTATAGGACATAGTGGAAGACTGGAGCTGAGCATTTTCTTTGACGGGCAATGGGTTTATTCAGCGGACACGCATCTAGAACTAAAATTACTTTGTAAGCGTCACAGAAAAGTACAGGACATTTCACAGCAGAAGACATGA